GAATATTATAACATTTTTACGGAAGTCGATAATTTGAAGAATAATGACAAAAAATTATAAGTATTATTGACATATATCCATTTAAGTAAAAATCCCTGGAATATCAATTATTATACAAAGATTTAAAGTACGTATTATTATTTATTATTACTTAAAGTATGTATCTATAAATTATACAGTAATAAATAAGAATAGTAAAATAATATGTTTAATAGTTGTTTAATATCAGAATTTCGATGAAATATTAAATTAAGTTTTTTACTTTTATTTTATTTAAAGTAAAGGCTTCAGCGGCATAGTTTATATTAACCTACAATTAAACACAGAGAGAAAAACAGATAATAAAAACAAGATTGAAATATTTATATTTGTTTATAATTTCTTACTTGAATTTATTATTTGGAAAAATATGTAGATTGCATTGGTGTTTTCTTCACTGAGAGCTAGTCGAAGACATTTTCCGTGTTTCGGTGTATTTTGAACATCTAGTATAACGATAATGTCAATCGAAAGGTTTACCTTAATTTATAAGTTTGTAACAAGACACTCAAAAATATGGTATAAAAATTCTAAATAACCAAAAATGTGATACTTGGTAACTCAAATTTATTTCAAAATTCCAAAAATCAGAACTTGGATATGATCTTTGTTAATAAAAAAAAATGGAGATGAACATGCTTTGTGATCAGTAATCACTCTGTTTATTAAGACGCAACGATTTCTCAACTTTGTCATATATTTGAGTAGGTATTTTAGGTCATCTCATCTAACGTAATGACTGAATATTATACATTATATATGTTGCATCCACAGAGTGAAACCACTCATTTCATGAACTGGATATCCAGATTGTGAAATTCGTTCAGGATCGTAAATTTTGACGAAAATAGATTATATGGAAATCCATTTCATGAAATGGACAATACCTAGGTATATTGTGTACTTTGTGTAATTATTATAAAACAATTATTTTTGTTCTTTACCAATAAATTATATTATATTAAATTTGTATTTATTTTTCATACACAATACATTTAAAAATTATATTTATTATATTATATTTTAATTAAGTTTTCATAATATGTATACAATAAAATATAATATAATTTTATAATATACGAGTATAATTGTATATTATATTTTATAGTAATATTATGTTATATTTTATTATATTTTTTTATTTTTTATGTGAAAAATAAATTAAAATATAATCTAATATAATTTATTGGCAAAAACAAAAATAATTTTTTCATAGTAATTACACAAAGTACACAATATATTATATAGGTATTATCCATTTCATGAAATGAATGCTCATGTAATGTATTTTCGTCAAAATTCACGATCTGGACGAATTTCACTATCTGGATATCTAGTTCATAAAATGAGGAATTCCACTGTGTGAATGCGACATACACATATAATAACAATTATAATTGTTTGATTTTACCAATATACTTCGATATTTTTACAGATAGAGTTCTTTAACTATCACGTGACCATCGTTTCATGGGCACTGCCATACATAATATATAGCCTTTATATACCATAAATGCTTGTAATCACCATCGTTCCGAAGAGCAAAAACATTAAGTTGCACAACACCGTCGACCAAGTCGAAAGAATCAATCTGCCGCTGAAAAATGTCGAACATTCATCGTTGTCTCAATGTCTCCGCAACTATGAAATAATTAAATAGTTTAACGTTTAAAACGATAAGAGTGTATACGCTAGACGTTATTACCATACTAGGGACATCTGTAAAAAAATCATCAAACAATTTTTTGAAATCGTTGAATTGATCGTCAGCTAACTTTATATTAAATTTAAAAATATACCTATTTATGTATAATAAATGTACCTATATACATATATTATGTATATTATGTTTTATATACCAACATTGTATGATTCGTTAATACAATTATTAATTAACTTTAGGTGTATGTAGTAAAATCGAAACATCGATTGGTATAGTTACTTAGTACTTTATAAATAATTATATAATATTATAATGATTAATGTGCCAATGGCTTTAGTAGTTTTTATTATTGATATTATAAAATACTCGATATCCGTATGGAATGTTACTTGTTTGTTAAAGACTTTCATACAACACAAACACAATGATTTACAATTTTTAAATGAACTGTTTGCTTAATAGTAACGTAAAAATTTGAAACTAATAAAAAGCAAATAAAAAGAAAATATTTAATCATTTTATTTTTATTTAGTTAGGGTTTTCTACTTGTGTATAACGTTATTTTATCTATATAAATCCTAAATACGCAAAGGTAATATTACAAATTATTTCATAATACACACACTTAAATATTTAATGACCTCATTAATTGTTAATGCCTACATTGTATATCTATATAGTGTATATTATATGAATGTTTAATTTTAGTATTTAAAAATCTCAACATGCTATTAATCAATTAATTAGTTATTGAATGATGTTTGAAATATGATAAATCAATGACATGTACTTCTTTACGATTGCCTAAAGAAAAACGCGTTAAAAAATATATTTCTGCAGTTAAAATAAATCAAGAAACTTAGAGTATTAATTTTTCAATTTATTATTAGTATTCAAGTCAATATTAGGGGTTGTATAACGTATTTAAAAACTAACAATGCCCATTTTTGTCATATTTATTAAGATTTAAAATTAATTAACTTCATTAGTAATAATAAGATTTTAATTAAGTTATTATAATATATTATACCTATTAATAAATAATAAATAATAAAAAATAAACATATATACATAAGTGATATCGACTAATAATATTCACATGAAAATAAGCAGTTAGATACTTAAAAGCAAGCACACAAATTTATTTGTGTATTTGAATTTTTAACCATAAAGACGGAAATAGTTATAAATTATTTTCACAGATTATTTTAAACTTTGAGTGGAGCAATAAAATTGATTTACAACAATATATGTTTTTTATCAAGTGTCCGGAAAAAGTAATTCGATTTTCAACTTTGAAGGTAAATTCTAGTAACAAATTGGATTAGAGAGGGGGACTAAAAAATTCCCAACACTTTTCTGATAAATTAAGAAAAAAAATTTAGAGAAAATGGAATTTTTAAGCAAAACTAGTTTTCAACAAAATCAATTTTCTTGATTAGCTATAACTCAAAAACAAATATTCATAAGTACTTAAATTTTTTAATAAACGTTTAAGTATATTCAAATTTTCTAAACGTGATATTTTCAAAATATTTGGAGCTATTGATGGTCATTTGAAATTTTTTTATTTATTGTTAAGGCTTTTTCTATAAATAAATGGAAAAACGTTGTAAAACGATTATTGCTATAGAATGTAGATATAACAACAAATAAATTAAGTCGATAAATTACGTACCGTTTCGAAGACGCAAACTGCGCTATAAATCATTATTCTTTGTTTCATTGAAATATGTTAATGTTACTTAAAGTTATTTATTCAGAAAATATCCATGTCTGTAAATAAAATTATAAATATTGAAAAGTATTTTCGCTTTAATTAAAAAAATCTGATCCACTCAATTATATTTTTAAAAATTATGAAAAAACCTGTTGTTATGACCCTTTTTAAAAATATGTGAGCAATGAAACGTGGCATATCTATGCGAATTATACCTACTTCCAGCAAATTCTAATAATAAAAAAAAATTCACATTTAAAGTTGATAAAAAAATCATTTTTATGAATTTATCTTGTATAACCAGAAACAAACTAAAAGAAAAATTACCGATATTTTACAAATTATAGAATACGACCAATTATGGATCACTTAAGAAATTAAAATCCCTATTTTTGGTAATACAATTATTGTATATTTTAATAGGTAGTTTGGTAGTTTAGAACACTTATATTTTCTAGATCAATATATTTTTGTGTTCTCAAGGGAAAAACGTAGGCAAATGGGTACCAATTTGCTGAACGTTAGGTATCGAATGGGTTGCTATTATGGGTGTGTTAAACTCGAGTTCAATAATATAATATGTATAAATCTTGTATGAATAATGATTCTGAGCGAAAACGGTCCATCAACCTATGTATATAAAATGTTCATAAAAAATTAATTTGATTTTACGATAATTTTAACTTCTATTAAGTACAAACTAAATCCAATTTGTAACTCAAAATCTCCCCCCAAGTTGAAAATTAAAGCATTTTATCGAGAATTTATTGTGTACTTAAACACGAAAAATGACACATCATTGTAAAATCAATACATTCATTTCTCCGTTCAGAATCTAAAATGTAGTTGTTAATATAATTTATGGTCAGTGCCTTGTTATGTACCTAAACACTTATTTAACACGGAATTTTTTGACATGTAAGTCATATTTTTAGTCTGATCGATCGTAGTCTCGTATTCGTGGTACTTATTTATCGAATTTACAAATTTAAGTCAATACGATCAATTTATATTCTTAAAAAGTAGAATTTAAAAACTATAAGAAGATAAATCTTGAAATATCTTTGGGTTACGTTTATAAACATATTATATATACCTATATATATGTTAAAAAAAAATATATTATTCAATCAAATGCCACAAATCACGAAAAATTTATTCGACAATCATTATATGTATAGGTACGTAAAAATAGAGATATCATACTCATAATTCATAATATATGTTAATTATATATTATATATTGTAAATAATATATACTATGTTCAGATTTGATGTTAAGTGTAAACCTACTTGGGTATATATATAAATATGATAAACTTATACATAATACATATAAGTACCTACTTGTTCGCACTTGTTGCTGTTCCACCACGAGCAGTAGCTATCGCGCGAGTTCAAACACTACTGCATTCGTTGTTGTACACTATAGAGGAATAGTGTATTAAATGCGTATCTATTAATCGTTCACGACCGTTCATACGACGTTTTCTTCATCCAAAAACTACTTTTTCTATCTTTGGAGTTTTTTTCATTTTGAGCGTATTACTACTTTGTTTCTCGGTGAAAATCAGAACAATGAACATCGACAGTGTGCTCGTCACCGTGGGAATGGGCCGTTACCAGTTCGCAGGTTGCGTGCTTTTTGGCTTCATGATTATGTATTCGAACGTGTCGCCGGTTACCTACATCTTCACCGCCGGTGATTTGAAATACAGGTAAAATAGTGATAAAAAAATAAACTGTTCGTTACTTTATAAGCTGATTTGTTAGCCGTAACCATTTCATCTATACGTTATAAACATATTTTTCGAAAAACAAATTTAAGTATTTTTAACTATTGTTATATAAATTAGTAATAATAATAGGAAAAGACAAAAAATTTCGATTTCCTGTGAATAATATTTTTCCAATTATTAAAAATTTACTTAAATTATAATATTTTTCGAAACATTTAATTTCGTTAAGATTTAAACTTTAAATGTCTATAAAAAATGTAACTAAATTTTTTTGAAATTTTTTAATTGTGATAGAACAATTTATAAAAACCTTTAAATTAAAATTTTCTATTTTCAAATAAGCATTTTATCATATTATTTTTAAACATAAATGAATTCAAAAAAAAAAAAATCGAAAATTATTATTGGTCTAGAAAATATTTATCGTTATAATTGTAATATTAAATTTATATATATATGTATATCAGTTATCATGTATATTCTAGAAATGTACTAATACTTTTCTATTTAGTTCCAAAGACACAAAAATTATAAACTTAGTATTTACATTTTAAAAATAGGGTTTTTTAAATAAGTAATAAATATAAATTTGTAATTTTGATTTTTATGAAAAAAAAATGAGTAATTAAAAAATAATTCATACAGAATTCTACGATAATTTTGTGCAGACTATAACTCTTTATGTGTATTGTTTAATGAGTTAACCTAATTTTCTTTTTAAAATTTTAATTTTTTTCATATTAAATTTATCATGCTTAAATTATTTGGTGACTTTTTTACATTTAATACATTTACAATAAAAGAATTAGAAATTTCTCATTTTCCCATTGTTTAATAGATACCTACTGCAGGAATGGTATCAATGTGTAACACACTAAATTGTTACAACAGTCTCAGGTACATTAATATTCAAGTTCTATAAAAATAAGACACAATAACCGTCTCATTAAAATTGAGTAGTATAAAATACATGACATTGGGTAAATATCTAAATCATACTTATATAGTTTCTACGTAGTTTTACAAGTAGATATATGTACTTGAACGCTTGTATACACGTTTAAATATCAACACAATCGCTTTCTATCTTGTGTTTATCGATATATTGTTACTCTAAATATAATATGTCATTATTATTTACCATAGGTGAAGCCAGACATCTTTTCCAGGAAATGCTCAATAATATTTTAATATCCTTTATTTTAAATGTATTCTTAACTTAACTCAACCTTCACAACCATACTTAAATATTATTAAATTATAATATTTAATAAAAATAATTCGATATAAATCTTCAAATTAAAACAAATTAAAGATACTTTAAACATGGTATTTATCTATTACTTTTAGGGTATCATGGTGTTTCTATTAAAAATATTGAAAATGTAATACACGGTTCTTTATTAGTTTTTCATATAGATATTCAATAAATAGAAATTACATTTTATGCATTTTTTTTATAAGTGTTCGAAGATTAAATTTTGACACAAAATTAAATATTTAAACGAAAAATAATTGTTTTAGTTATTTTTTTTATGTATTTAATATTTTAACGACCAAGACAATAATCAATATATAGATAACAGTAAAGTTTCACATCATATAATAATTAGATGTACTTATATGAATATTAATCAAACTGTTAATACATAATTAATAGCTTGATTTATGTTCAATACAATTCTTTTTTATTAAATGTATGGTGAATCGATGGAAAAATCAAAACGGAACAGTGTTAGATGCGTCTGAAAGGCGGTACTTCAGATTGAATTTGATTATATTAGCTGAAAATTTATTATATAACCGTAGAAACTTTTAACTTTTCACCATAACGTATATTATATTTTTCTATGTACCTAGACTATGAATTTATACTAATTTTAAGTTATTTAGGTGTTTCACAAACCTATTTCAATTTTTTAATCATATTGGTGTTGATTAATAAAAATTATAAAAAAAATTAATGTATTACATGTTGTTATATTACAAAATATGTCATAATTTTGTTAAAAACTAGATAAATTTTAACCAGCTATAATTATACCATATTACTAATAGAAAAATCACTACTTATAGTAATATAAATAAATTATAAACATTTTTTTGAAATAGAAGCCGAATCAATCGTTTATTGCAAATTTAACATGACCATTACAAGATTAATTCAGTAGTCTAAAGTTTTCCTATCTCAACATAGATTTTTATAATTAAAACATTTTCAGAAAAATGTTAGTACTTAGAATTTGAAATCAATATAATAAGTTTCCGTTAAAAAGTCAAAGTTTTAATGAATGTGTAGAAACTGATACAGTAATTAAAATAAATTATAATATAAAATAACTTCAATAGATATGAGACAATATTATATATATATAATTATAAGTATGGAAATTGTAAATATTTAAGTTCAGTAAAAACATTACGAAATTAATCTACTCGTTAAAAACGAGTACCTACTCATAATTCAATTTCATTAAAATATGTAATTAAACTTGTCACTTAAATATAACCACTTATATAGTTCTACCGTATCATCGACACATTTTGGCAAAAACATAATTAGTATGAGAATTTCCTCTTGAGAGAAATAACATTATTTTGTTTATACATCACAACAAAAATAATTGTCACTGATAATTAAGAATCATCAAATTTAGAAATTATGATAAAAAAAATTACCGAGATCTCTGATTCGACAATATAATAATGGACTTATAACAACCTTGGGAGTTCCAATTAACCATATACTTAATTAATCGCTTATTATAGGGAATTTAATTGATTTCATTCAAACAGAAACCTAGATTATATTATTCTCAGTATCTTATCTAACAAATAATAAGAGATTTGATAACTACTATGAAAAATTGGAATAGTACGTATAAAAAAATATATCAACAAATTGCCATAGCTATGTTATGTTAATGTATACATTTTATTTCAATAATATATTATTATTTTAAATCATTAAACCTACATATACGACGAAAAGAATTTTACTGAAAAAAATAACAAATATTTAGGTATAATAAAAATGATTAAAGATTTTTTAAATAAACTATAATATAGGTTGGCAATGTTTTCAAATAATATTTAATTTCTTTTAAATTATTAAATTAAATAAATTCATATTAATGTTGTTAAGATATAGTTTTATTTATTTTATTTTTTTTTTTAATATCATGTTAAAAATGAAATTGTAGCTTTCATAAATTATGTATTTTCTAAAATCGTTTAATAAGATCATATTTTGTTATACAATTAATAATATATATATATATATACAACTTGATATTATCAAATAACTATTAATTGTGTAAATATATTAATGTATAAAAACAAACATAAAAGTTTCAATTCTACGTTACGTAAATTACAATAAAATAATTATATATTTAAAAAAAATATATACTTAAAAATTATTCAATTTTTTGGTTTTATAATAAACTACTATTTAAAACTTCTATTAAAATTTCAACCTCGTGCTATAAATTGAATACTTTATATATTTTTAACTATAAAAAAATTTTAAAGTGCTTATGATTTTGACGAAAATTTTCGTCAAAAATTGAACTTTAAATATTTTTTATAAAACACTTGCTTTGTATTTTTGATTTTCATAATTTTGTCGATTAGTTTATATTAGGATATTATTTTGATAATTTGGAGTATCTTCACTGTTTATATTAATTTTATTTTTCATTTTAATATAATATTATACTTAAAAAATACAAATATTGTAAATTGTTATTGGCTCCGTACTTAAATGATCAGCGGTTCGCGTTAAACGTTTTATAAGCTATTCTTCCTTCCCTATTACTTTAGGTGCACGATACCGGGATGCGACTCACAGAATCCGGCTGAAAGAATTTACGAACCAGAATGGTTGCGATTCACTACTCCTTACCGGGAAAACACAGGACTGCCGCACAAATGTAAGCGGTACTCCAGGAATCCGGCTAATAGTTCGCAGTGTTTACAAAATGTCTTCGACAATAACACAATAGAATTATGCCATGACGGATGGGTGTTTGAAGATAACGAGAACACCATCGGCAATGAGGTACATAATTTGTACATCATTCAATTATAATTATACTAATAAAATGCTTGTAGTGTATGTGTGTATGTGTAAGCAATCTACAGACAAATCTATCACATTTGTAACTCTAAAACTTAGTTCATATCTAATCCTAATCGTATCTTAATCTTATATCCAGAAGCAAAAATGTGCACCTAGAAACCAAAAAAAATTGTATTAAATAAATTTAAAAAAATAATACACCGCGACATCTATACCTAATATATTATCCCATTTTTTTATGATAATATACTGAAACGACGATTTTATTAACGTTTACACGGCGTTGTAACTAGACTACTTAGTGTACACTAATGCCATTGTCAATTTTCGTTTAAAATATTCTAAAGAAAAAAAATCAAGTTTAATGATAATAATACTATAATGTCTTAAATGCGTAGTTTTTATTATTTTTATAGTTAAATCATAAGTAAATCAAAAATATATCAATAAATAAAATCAATATATCGATTTCTAAAACAGTTTTATTAAAATATCAGCAATACCTACATCGTTGTTTCCTCTAAGTTTGTCTGTATAATACGATTATAATTGTAACACGTGGTTTAATCGTATATTCGGGCTGCAACTTTGTATACTATATATATGTTTAATATAAATCTGTATTTTATTTACATTGTATATTGCATAGTTTGAACTTATGTGCGAGGAAAATAAATGGAAGCTGTCAATGGTGGGCACAGTCAACAACTTAGGTCAGTTTATCGGCATACCCGTGTCTGGAATAATCGCAGACAAGTGAGTCTACTATCCAATTCAGAATTATAATAAATAGAATGTGTAATACCCATACTAATCATCTTTTTTTTTACCAACAATAACTTAATATCTATAAATCTATAATTACCTCAGTATTTCTTATAGCTTAAAAAAGTAACTTATTGCTTATTAGTTATTGTTTACCTATACAAATAAAAAAAAAAAAAATAATAATACTAAAAACCATTAATATTCATATTGATCGTTGTAATATATTTATGCCGGAAATTTTCAGGTTTGGTCGAAAATTCGCTATGGTGTTTTGTGCTGTTACATCGGCCATAATATGTATTATTCAATCGTTTTCGGTTAATTACCAGATGTTCTTGGTTTTGGAATTGTTGTCTTCCATCATTTCCAGTGGTGTTTATACAGTCACGATCATATTAGGTAAGAATATTCTCTGTGGGTATTTGAAATTTAAAATCTATAAAAAAGAAATAAGTTGCGAGCCAATCAATATTTATGGTAATTTGTTTTATGATCTAAACACTTTACGGATTAAACAGATTATATATTGTATGAAAAATTTAAACAGTTATTTATTATTCATTTCAACGATTATTTACCCAAATATTATAAATTTACAATTAGGTAAAATATGAGACTATAATTTAAGATTGTAAATTTTCTATAACATATGTAACATGTTAAAATATTGTATCAATAATTATACTACCTAAAGCGGTAACTTTTGTTTTGTCAGAACTCATAGTCAATCCAGAAGAACTTTAAAAGAATGTTGAAATTTTTCTTTGTCTTGGGTGTTAATTCTCCACTTGACACAGTTAGTAAAAATGAAAAACTTTTGTTTAAACAGCTAAACCTTTTCATTATAGAAGAAGAACAAAATTTATAAGATCGATAATTTATTGAATGTACTGGTTTGATGAAATGTATACAATCACTAAAATTATTATCTGTCTGTTCACCGTTGGGAAGTATATATAAAACATACTATTTTTTGTTTAAAGTTTTTTTTGTAAAGTTACTCTTAGCAAACGATGATTATAATATTATATTATCATAGTTACTTTGTGATATATATATATTTTTTTTTTTTAAATAATAATTTTAAAGATTAAAAGACATATATTATAATGATTCAGTGTTTTTCCGTGTAGCACAGAAATTATCAAGCAGCACGTTTTTGAATAGGTTTTCTGAAGCTGCTAATTTTTCATCGTTTCTGTTTTCCAATTCTACTGTATACTACGTAAAAGTTATATTATGTCAACTTCATTAATATAACCACACTTATAAAATGTATTTTATTTATAATATTTAATTATCGTAAAAATAATAAATATATACATAAACGGTGAAGTATTTATATTCGACAAACATAAACGTACATTAAATTAATTGTAATTGGTTTTTAGTTGAGTTGAGTTGAGTCTATTTAGTCTAAAACATACTCATACATGTAATAACCACAACATTCAACGTGCAATAATGAATTAGGTAGTGTTATACGATTTATAATTTTTGTATATATAATATTAGGTTAACATAGTAACGTAATTATATTAATATTCAATTACTAGGGTAACTTCATGAAAACTCTGACTAAAAAATAATTATTATAACAGTGAGTGTGGTCTAAATGTAAGGAATTGAGTAAAAAAAATAAAAAAATATGCTATATCTAGTCCAAAAACATACATATGTTAAAAAGTAATAATTTATCTTTTATGCAGTTAAGAATAATTTCTTTAAAAAATTATATACATTCTGTTTGTTTTTTTTACAATATTCATAACTAAGGTTTGGTTTCCATTGAAATTATTTAACGAAACTATTTTTCGTTACTGTAATGCGTTTTGACCCGATTGCAAAAAATTACTACGACCAAAGTTTTCTGGGAGGAGGGATTTGTATAGAATATGTTTACGTATAAAAAATAGCTCAATGACTTTTTTTGCTTTGTATGACATATTTGCAATTAATTAAATAATTGTACATGTCGATTAATAAATAGGTAGTGTTTAAATTGTCTATAGTGTTTTTTTTGTTCTTAAAATTAAAAATCAGAACTTTATAAACCATAACCATTATATAACCAAACAGTAATTTAATAAAATTATTGTACATATTGATTGTGGGCTAGACTGTTTAATGTAGTCATTTTTCTATAGAAGTAATTGGACCTTATTATTTAACACTTTAAATTATAATCATATTTCATAGAAATAGATATTACTTTGTACTTTGTACCTTGTACGTAAAAATGTTTTAATATAATATACCTATTTGTTTTAATAATACCTTGCAATTTAAAATATGTTTGAAAAAAACATTGATAGTTTGCTAATTGATAAATTAATTTTCAAATAGTCTAAGCTATTTGACTCACACAAAAAAAAACACACTTAAGAGTTTAAGAGTTAAGACACAATTTATAGATAGTTAAATTATGTTAACCTAACGATAAAAAAAAAAAAAACGGAAAGTCGGGGTTCAAAAATATGAGTTTTAATCTTTTATGGCATCAAAAAGGTTCTGAAATATAATTAAGCTACTTAATTTTTCACACTTCTAATAAAATATATAAATATGTAATCACATAATATCTTACAATTATACTATTTATATGTGTATTAGTTTGTATTTTTTTTTAGATACCTATTTATAAATTAAATGTGTTTTTAATAATAGCTATGGAGTTGGTGCTTCCTAATCACCGAGTACTATACTATTCGATTCTGGAATGTTTTTATCCAATTGGTGCAATACTCGTGGCTTTTATCGCCAGTCTAGTGAAAGACTGGAGGCTTTTGTTACAAATAGCCAACATCCCGGGATTACTGTTCTTATCATACTTTTGGTTATTATCTTGAGATTAATTTTGTTAAACTTAAATATATTGCTGTTATTTTCTTATGTAAAGGCTTATGGAAGAATCAATGAGATGGTTGGAAATGCAAGGCAAACATGACAGAGTAATCAATGTGCTCAAGAGAATAGCGGGTATTAATAAAAAGTCTTTACCTGTACTACCTTCAAACACACAAATGGAGGTACCTAATAATTTTGAAATTTAAATATTATGAATAAACTATGTAGATACATTCATACACATTAAATAATAATTTTACTAATCTTTGCCTATTTGTGATGAACGTAGCTGACTATTTGTGAAAATTTTTTAATGAATCTGATTGTAAATTAAAAAATAATTACCTACCAAGTTACTAAATTTCTCAAGAGCATTTATGTGTAATAAGAAAAATGCATTAAGAATATTTTTCACAGACGATCAATTATAATGACGAAAACGACGCAAAATACGTCAGTATTTTAAAAGATGTAATCGGCTCTCCAACAATGTTATGTAGATTGATCAGATGTTCACTTGTGTGGTAAGATTAAATATAAAGTTATTTCCAAATATTTCACTAAATATAAATAATACATTTTAAACTATTTTTTAAATTATCTTTTTTGAAAAATAATTGAATAATCATGATTGCTTAAGAAATATTGACTATACAGTCAATATTAATTTTTGTGATTCTGGTTTTATATATTTATTTTGATGATAAACGATTGCGTTCGAAAATTAGTGTAATATTGCCAATGTACTATAGTATACTAGTTATTATTCAGTATTAATACCAATAGTAGTATTTTTGAATAAAAATAGTATCTCAACTGTTAAGATGTTAAGTGAAAAATATATGTTTCTATTAATTATATTGTTCAATCAAGTTTAAATTATATTTTTAAATAATTCTAATAATTAAAACTACTAAAATATAACAATAATATGATCAAATAAAAAATATATACGTAGAGTAATACAAAATGTATGTTATAATCATTTTACCACATAAATATAAAATATTTATAATGAAAAAAAAAATAATACAAGTTTTTTTTAAATTTAATAATATATATTTCAAATGATAAGTAATTATTATATTTTTTACAGTATTTTAGAAGGACTTTAGGGGACAACTTAAGAAACTCAAATGGAAACCTAAACTTTTTTTGCAACTATAATGTGAAGATAACTTTTGAGAGTATTTCGATACATAAGAATCGGACAAGAATTTATCAAATTTAGAAAAGAAATTTATGAGTTATAAGTATTTAAAGTTTAAATAAATGGAAAATTATGTGTGATATCCCTGTACTATTCCACTTCACTCATCTAGACTTTAAATATTAACTCATAAAAAATAAAAATGATTAAGTTTCGATTTTTAAGTATCAAAATACTCCAAAAAAATTCTTCACATTAGGATTGTAAAAAAATATAACTTTTCATTAGAAAATTTCTTAAACTAACCTCGCAAAGGTTCCCTCCTAAAAATTTGTAAAAATATTATTAACTATTGAAAATCGCTAATTATTTTAAATATTTCTAAATAAAAAAATGTTCGTATCAAACATTTCTCTCCGTTATGAATATTTATATAAAAATTTACTGTAATATAAATTAAAAATTACTATATATATAGTACAATAAAAGTGAAAATTATAAATTAAAACCTTAGTATCAATAACCAGTCCTCAAAACTGTTGGCACTAGAAATAATGATCACAATAACGTTTATGAAACTTTATCAAAGGTAAACGATTATTTCTTAAATTAAGTATTTTTACAAATGTTCATAATAATTGTGAACAAGGTCAATGTCGCACTAAGTTTGAGTAGGTACAACGTACATAATTATGATGATAAAGAAGTTTCATACACAATCATAACGCACTCTTTTAAAAGGGTCTCGCATGAAACATATTCTCTAAAAATCACACATGGTAATATGTATACGTTACCATTTTCTACACAAAATGTTACAACAAATACAAATTTCTTTCTCACTTTATTCAAACATAAGATAAACAATTAACTATTAAAATTTATTTTACTTTGTGTTAATCAACAAGTCTTTAATTTAATATTTAAAATTTAATTCAGACCATTAGTCAGCAGCATATTATTTTATACATTCATAAACTATAACCATACATTAATAAATTATAAGATAAATGTAACTAAAAATTCTACTGATTATTTTACTTAATAATATTTATAGTCAATTTACAGACTTTAACTATGTCACATAATAATATACTATTAAATAGGTCAGATAGTTGTATACGCAAATAACAAACATGCTAATCAAGCATTTATTAATATCTTATGTATTTCTATAACTATAAACTAATCAAAATAACAATATTAAAAACAAACTCAATAAATTATTATTTTAGATTTTGACTAACAAAATTTCTAATAAGTATTTCATGCTGAAACCAAAAAATTTTAAAAATATATGAACACAATAATTATTTTTATAGACATTTGAAGTTCGAATTTGAACGATAGTTACATATTTTTACGATGAAAGTTAATTATGTTTTTTAAATTCAAAACAATTATTCATAAGAATTTAAAACTTTTACTTACGTTATAAATTTTATTAAACATATTGAAATTTTTAAAATGAGTAAATTAATTTTGAGATATTATATATTATGTATTTACACTGTTTTACGGTAATTTAGTATTGACTTAAAATCTTGTAACAATAATATAATAATATAATATAAATAAATATTATTATTTTAATATTGAATACCTATGAATAATATAAATAACATAATTAATGCAATATTTTTTTCATTAAATTAACCTTCCGTAAACTAATAGTAAAATAAATTACTTTAATTGCAATATCTAAAACATATCATCATAAAATATGCTTATTGATACAGACTGATAGATCGTTTTCACTCAGAATCGTTTTTCAGATACAATGATGTATTAATTTTAAAATTTAACACATCCATTGCATTAATCTACACGACACCAACTGTATCGTAGGCAGTACCCATTCACCTTTTTAACTCAATGCGTATATGCTTATGAAATTATGGAATTTAAATAAAGATGAATCTTAAAATATTAATATACATTTTGCATATAACTTTCTTATATTTGGATCATATAATAATATCATAATAATAACTAGGTAGGATAGCGCAGTCATTACAGATAAATTATATTATTTTTACTTACGCAGGATAGCGATAACGTTAGTGTACTACGGGCTGACAATATGCGCAACTGACATTGCAGGGGACAAGTATCTGAACTTCTCGTTGGCCTCATTCGTAGAAATACCGGCCTGCTTGTTGAATTGGTTGATTATGGAAAGGATGTCCCGAAAAATGTCGTTGTCCTGTATGTTTGTCTTGAGCGGTTTGTCCAGTGTCCTATACAACTCAGTGCCAGAATGTAAGTATATCTAAGTTAAAAGTTCTCACCTCCTGTGTTATACTTAATTGCAATTCACAATAAATTACATACACCGTACTTAAACAAATAATAAAGCAATCTACTTGATTCCTAATTATTTCTATCAAAAATAATATTTTACTTGGTAAAACTTAGGTTTGCATTCTACATCGACTGGGTTTAAACTACTTATTGCATATTATAATGCAATGATGTGTACCATATCATAAATATTTATAAATAGGGTTATGGCTATCGAGTAAAAAATGTTCAATGAGCAAGATTATGAGCAATTATTCCGTAATTTTCAATTGCACATTTTCACATGAAGTACTGGATGACAATATTTCATGTAGTGAAACGGGCTCTTAATAGTTACTTAAGAACTTAAAATAATTATTGTTTCTATATTTATTGTATAAATGTTTAATACTATAATGTTTCTGGTATAAGTAATATCTTCAAAATTATAATTTGTAGTGATTATTTCGAACCAAATAATTTTAAATCTATCGATATGTAATGAATTTTAATAACCAAGTAAAATATCAAAAATAAAAATCTAACTATTTTAAAGTGATTACTTAAAACTATATACATATTAAAACTAGACTCAAAATTTAAAGCAATTGCATATTAATCTATACATATGCTATCGATTTATAGAAAACCTAGCTGAAAATCAATTATTTAAAATGATGAATCTAAAATACATTCTGCTATTGCGTATATTTATCAAATTTGTAAAATATTACCTATTTTTTAATTTTTATTTATTTTTAAATTTTAAATAATTGAATATTTTAGATTTTCGATTTTTATATATTTTATTATTTTTAACTACTATTACTTCTGAACGTTAAAATATTTATGATATTTACAATACCTATATATATTATTATTATAAGCTATATTGTCATTTTTGATAACGGTCATTATTTTTTATTCAAAACAGCATTACTTTTGATAAAGTTATTAATATTCCTGATTAATAAACTCGCAATATCCATCGCGTTTTGCATAATTTACTTGTTGACCGTGGAGATATTTCCAACTAGGATGCGAGCAACCCTATTATCCGTGTGCTCTATGATTGGTCGGATTGGATCCATGTTGGCACCACAGACTACGTTGCTGGTATGTAAAATGCACTATATTATAATATAATATTTAGTCTCACAAACGGTCTCCACTCAGTTTTTCGTACGAGTACCTATATAATGATTTATCATTAAATTAAAATTCAATAAATCCATTACAGTGATTTATTCAATGACGAAGGACATTCGACGCTTACTGTGTATAGTATTATTGCACTTATCTGCTTGCTCACTTTTTTAAATTTTTTATCCTACCATTTAGAAATTCGTAAACACATATTCAATAATATTTTATGCATATTTTTTGTAATAAATACTAATATTAATTATGTGAAAACTTTCTTTTATTTGTAATTGAGCATTTTTCGGTCGTAATTTATTATTTAATAAATAATCATAATAAGTGAGAAATATCACGGAAAAGTACCTGCAATCAAAATAAGTAAAAAAAAAAAAATCAAGGTATCATAATATAATATACAGGAGAGACATTATAGGTTCATCTTAATATATGTAATCTGTATAAATAACATACCTTATATGGTTTTTTTTTTTGCGATTTGCTTCGATTTTTTACCGACTTAAAAAAAAATTTTCAGGCTGAATACTTTGGCAATTACGTGAACATGTTCGTATTTGGTACGACGGCGCTTTTGGCAGCCGCGATTACCATGACTCTTCCGGAAAGCAAAAACATCAAGTTGCCCGACACCGTCGTCGAAGCTGAACAAATCGGGATCGACCGCCTGCTACCCGAAAACGTCGAAAACTCTTAATCCTACAATAATTATTAACAATAATATTTTTATACGCACGCAAAAAAACGATTTTATAATGTGCACGGAACGTCCCCGAACACCACGTAAAGTGGTTTTCGAGAAGATTTTAAAATTTATACTCTATAGATAGTACCTATATTGTTTATTATATGCGATGTTTTTAGATAGCTTGTTGTTCAGACACTCTATACATGTAATAATAAATTTGTTACTGCTCTCTGCAACTTCTCGTCACAAGAACGTTTCGACATTTCGTACACATAACACTTGCCAATAGGGTCAATGGAAGATGTAAGGAGCAAATGATGAGATAGGTCTATCTGTGCACCTCGCCGAATCGATAATCCAGAAAGAATGCAGTGATCTTCAATTAATTTTTCTTAATCAGAGAACTATATTGCTTTCGAATAACATTATTATTCTTATTTATATTGTATATTTGTATCTAATTTAAATATTATACGCGTAAATATATTGTTCAAATAGTAACAGTACATTCATAAAGTAACAAGTATACTTTAATTGAGGTAAGTTCCATGTATTTAAAAAATTTGAATTGTGTATACTTTGTATATTTCAGGAGTATGATGATACCAAGTATTTTATTCAAATGTGCACCATATTTTTATTTTTTTATTTTTACTTTAAATGTTTAAGCAGTACATTTTTTTTTTTTTTTTTTTTTTTAATTTAGATTCAAACAAAAAACATTTACTTTATGAGTAATTATAAAATGTATGTAACTATACTATGAATTATTAGCTCTTAATAATCTTATTATTTTACAAAAATATACATTTATGTAATATTTAGTGTAGTATCTACTAAACCAACTTTTATGAACCCACTTAGGACCCAGTATTCTTACACAAAGGCAAATAATTCAACAAATTACTAATTTTAATTTCGATTTACAATTAGATAAATCAACATTTTCAAAAATTCATCTGCTTAATAATTTAAAGTAAGAAAGATTTATACTTGAAAAAAAAAATTTTGTATCCGTCCAAAATAATTTTTAAATAAAAAAAAAAACATCTAATTTTTTAAACATATGGTCCACTCGTATACTTAAAAATTCCCAAAATCAGAACTATTTTAATATGAAAATCCTAAAACCAAAGAAAAAATGTGTGATGTGTATGATTGATGAATTATCTAAATTATACAAAGCTATGTAAATTATTTAGATTTACGATTTTTTTATTATTTTCTTGACAATTGCTTTATATTCACTTTATATTTGCATATCCAATCTATGTGTATATTAAGAACCTATGAAATGTTTACTTTTGAGATGTATAAATTTTATTTCAAATTTATTTTAAAATATTTTTTTTTCAAATCTAAACCTATATGCTATGTCAGAATTATGCTTTAAAACTATTATCCTAAATGACTAAATCAAACAGAAGAGTTCCTAATTATTAGTAATTAACTACTTATTAAGCCTATGTATTAAACAGTCATGAATACTTGTCACGTGCTTATATAGTTATAAATTTAGAACTTATATTAATTTTTTACCTATATGTTAAACTATTATCTATATTCTATTATAGATTATAATAACTATACTAATAAGTTGTTTTCAATTTTAATTATATATACGTAGGTACATAAGCAACATAGCTTCTTTTAATCTTTGTTACTTATATAGGTACTCGTACGAATTTTTATTGGTTGGCTAATACGATTTTTATGAATTACAGTTGCTAAATTTTTTCACAAAAAAAATAATTATAGTATTATTACCTGATTAGTTTTAATATTTTTTTTTTTTTTTTGCTGTAACTATAAGCTTAATATTATGAGCGTGCCCAACTCCAATATGCAATAAATATCTATTTTTATTTTTGTGTGTATAATAGTAATTAAATGTTTATTATTTGATATTAATAATATACATATTTTCTAGTATTCCTTTAATTCGATTAAATCACGGAATCATATTATAGATGAAAATATATCTTTTTTAATATTTTACAATTATGTACTGTTGTACACTTGTATTCATTTATTTTTAATGGCTCTCGTAAATATAGATTTCCGTAGAGAAATACCCGTAAATGCTGATGAAATATTTTTTATTATATTAAAAATTTCACATGAAACAAAATAAAAAATTAATATAATTATTATGATTTATGACGCTTACATAGGTAAACGTCGTAAGTAGTTGTATATTGTATACAAATTACAAATATATACATATAATATACAAGGTACAAGGTGTATGTATGTACAATGTACATATTATATTTATAAATGTTTAACTATTGTCTATTGTCTACATTAAATTGACTTAATTATTTACATACTTACCTAAATACGCCATCATATGGCCATCATTTCACGTAATTTATATTTTTACATCTAAAAATATTTATTTTACTTATCTATTATAATATGTGACTTAATATAAAACAAAAGACATATTAACGTGAGAAATTTTTAATATGTACTTAGTATACATTTCTAATAATTGTTTGATATCTCAAATTCTCGACTACTACTAAAATTCTTTTACCTATATTATCTTTAATTAGATACTACAAGTATATATATATATATATATATAATTTACCTTCAATAATTCTGTTGGATAAAATATTTGATAAGGTAATAATTTTAAAAAACGTTACTTAAAATTAAAATTCATCATATTAATTAAAAAAAATTTGAACATACAAAGTTTATCTAATTAATTATAAAACTTGGGTGAATGTGAATATAAATATTAAAAAAATATTAGTAAATTATATCAAGATTTTAATATGTATAAAGATAAAACGTCATTGTGAGAAAAACTTAAATATAGAATCACAAATATTTTTATTTTTTTTTTTATGTGTAATTAAATGGTATTTTGTATTATATTTTTAGTATATGATGAGTTTTAAAAATAACATAAATTACCTAAAAACATAACATAATAACCAAAAACTAATAAATAATAATAATAAACATAAATACATAACCAAAGATATTTAAGTATTAGGTGACATTTAAAATGTATATTGTTAAATGCAGTGTTCAATTCTATATTTCTTTAATTATTTTTATTTTTCAACTAATTAAGATATTGAATTTCCACTGATAAGTTTTTTTTAAGCTTATTAAATAGTAAGTTATACTTTTTTTTGAAAAAAATAAAGTTATTAATTTTCCAAAAATGTTACGATATTCTATTTTTATTCAATTAGGTACTTGTTTGTTATCACCCCGTCATCAAGTGATCTTACGTCAGTAGTCAGTAGTCATTAATCAAAACTTTAAAATTTCGATATTCCTACTCGATATCTCTGCATTTCTATGATCTTTTACGTGTAGAACGTCTAGCATGTCATCTATTTAAGGAAAAATGGTAAACATATTATATATTTGAAATTATATTTTATTATGTTAATCGTTATAGTATGTTGTCAGTTTGTCACTATATTGTACTTTTTATATTATAATTTTATCTTAAAGTTCATATCTATTTTACAAAGTATATTAGCTTATTTTGAAATATTGTTAAAAATTAATTTGAATGAGTTAATATTTAATACTGACATTCAATTTTTACCATAAAAATGATTGTTAAAAACAAATAAAATGTATGATCTTTAAAGGTCTGTAGAAAATTGTCTTTTTTTTACATGTTTCTAATTTTTCTATGAAATATTATTAGTTGATTAAGCTATTATTTATCGTAAATAATTTATTTTGATTATCATTTATCATTACTAGAAAGTTTAGTAAGACTATAAAAAAAAAAAATCATAGTACAACGGACAATCAATTAAGTTGCAGGGTGAAAAAATTGAATACAATTTGGTGGCGAGGAAATAATAACAAACAAGTATCTTTATTAATTTGAGCAATTGAAAAATTCATAAATTTATTGAATAAAACTCAAATTTAATAATAGTTTCATCATATTTATTTATTTTTTTTTTTTTTAATGGGTTATAAATGTTCCAATGATTAATTTAATAGTGAAATATTTTTTTGCGGAAGTATAGATAGATGAACTCGGTAAATTTTTTATAAAATAAACGATATTATACATACATTTAAAACTAAATTAATCTTATTCGTATGTATTATATCGCATTAATTTCTGGTTTTCTTATCAAATTTAGTCGCAAATCATATTAATTGTAACCATAATAATTATATTTTATGTGTTATTACTTATAAATAAAATAAAACGATTCACGGTTAAGACATATAGTATGATGAGCGTAGAGCTTTAAATTATGACCATTAACATTATTCAAGGATAGGGTAGGCGTATTAGCGATTATTAGTGTGTGCTTTGATAAGTAAAACAAAAAAAAAAAAAGAAAATCAATTATTATAAAAAAGAAGAAATATTTGACCGGTACAAAAATACTAAAATGATTTGTACGATGAAGGTGAAAGCTTGGACTTCCCTCGAGAAAATGAATCCCGAACGTATGTCGTTTGATTAAATTCACTTTTATGTTTGATTCAGAACCGAATTATACGCAATAAAATTCTTTACGAGTGTAGGTACATACTCAAAGGGTTGGAATTTCGCGGGCCGCGACAAGGCTATACCCGATTATACAGCTAACACACCTGCAACTGGTTTACTCGTGTATTTGAAACAACACGCAGTAAAGTTCATATTGTATACGTCAAATGGTTTAGTTCGCGTTGAGCGCTAGAAAAATGCACTTAATAAAAAATATAACTAAAACGACGATCGGGACCATCGCACTTTATTGACCAGTCACGATCGCCGGACGATGCAACGCGGCAATTATTGAATTGTACGGCTTGTACGCACACAGTTTTCACCGATAAACGAATTCGCTTATTGTTCAATATTATTATTATATCATGTCATTGTAATGTGTGTTTGTGTATAGTGTCTGGACGAACAGTCGAAGTCAAAACAACACACGACACCCGTCATCGTATAGGTCATTTTATTACAATACTTACACTAGTTAGCAGTAAGTACGATAATATTATTATATTATGTTGTTATCGTGTACCTACATAATACGATATGCATTTGACAAAATAAATCTTACGCGTATATAACATGGTTCATATCAACACATAATATAAATATTATTTTAAATTTGTTTAAAAATTTATAATATTATACTTGTGGATGTTTTAAGTGCAGACGTAGCTCGAGGGCCAAATCCCGAGCAAACCTGTTTCACGTTGTGCAGTCGTCACCGGGCCGCCGTCGACAGAGGTTATCAATATATTCGTAAATATCATTTCGTTTTGCAGCTGACTACTGCTGCACTGCTGCAGTTCGTGTCCATGACCAGCACATTACACCCGTCGCGCGCCGTTGACATATTCTGCGACTTTTCTACCATCGTCTTCGGAAAATTTAAGCGAATTATTAAATCGAATTTCTTCACAAAATGATGGACATCGACCAAGTGCTGAAATCTTTGGGCATGGGCCGGTACCAGGTCATAGGTTGCATATTATTCGGACTCATAATAATGTATTCAAACGTGTCGCCGGTCACCTATGTCTTCACTGCCAGCGATTTAAAATACAGGTAAACGCGTGGAAAATATTATCGAATACAATTTACTAAATTCGAATGTAATATCCTTCAGAGCACAAACGTATAAAAAGGTTCCTTTGATATGCATTTTTTATAAACCCCTAATTTCAAAGTTAACATATACTTAGACCTGATTATTTTTATATTATGACATAAATACCAGAATAGAAAATTGATTAATCTAACTATCGTGTCTATGAACCAATAGTACCTACGATTTTAAAACCACATTAAAATCATAATTATAGTTATGGCCAATTGTATCACATAAGAATAAGACTATGATAATATTTATGCTGTAGATTACATCATATTTTAATTTTATATAATTTATTAGTTTTCATTGCAAATATCTAGTCATTATTTTAATATTTAATATTCTATTTAAATAACTTTAATTATTTATATTTTACTATATAGGTTTAACAATTAACAATGACGAATAGAACTAAAAATTTTTTTTTAAATCTATTAATGAGATATTCATATCTTGTAATTAATATGAAATTAAAAAAAAATACAGATAAGTTATGTTTTACAGAGTAAGTGACTAATAATTTCTTTAATTACTACTCATTAATTGGTATACATTATAGTATTGATTAAAATATGAATATTATAAATCATGTTTCAACAGACATTTTATTTAATAAACGCGAATTTATAAAATTTATAAAATAAAAATTGATAAGTTACATAAAAAAGTTACGATATTTTTAAACCATCATTTGAAAAATTAAATTGTTACGGTCATTTATAATACGTAGATATTTCAATTCGATACAAATTATTGTATTAATATTATTAATAATAACTTAATCTATTATATTTTTTTTTTCTTGTGTGGAGGTATGTGAAATAAATCAAGTTGTGTTTAAAATTGGTCGTTTACCAATTATCAAGTTTCAATTGGAAGAAGGACTAGATGTCTTACACATGTCCATAATCCATGTCTGACTAATATCTAATTTATACATAGTAACTATTACACTTAAAATGGTATTTGTGTTCCCATACCTGGTATAATAATTGATAAGTTTCTTAAAAATACAGTATTTAAAAAAATTCAGTTTAAACCTCTATTCAAATATGTATCAATAATTTATTTTGCAGTGATGTATCTTAAAACGATCATTAATGATTTTTGGTGACATATATTTTCTTACATTGGACAAATAATTTAAACGATTGCGTATGATAATGCAAGTATGATGTTTAAAAACTGAAATATTTAAGCATCTATTTTTATTTTATATGAGCAGGTATATAGTGAGTAGATAGATACACCAAAAAAAAAAAAATTGCATTACAACATGTTTCTTCATTTAAGCAGATAGATAAAACGAAAAAAATTTAACCAACTATTGAATAAAAACTGACTGTCGCTCATGTAGATATATACAATATATATGTATATAAAAATAAAATAATTGCTTTATAACACTATGACAACATCCAACTAGAATGATTTACGAGTATCGTGTAAATCGGCCATATGAAATTATTATTATAATTAATTAAAAAACAATAAATAATGACATAATTAATTAATATAGGATGCTTAAACGCCGAGAAAAACGTACAGGGCGATAGCTATAATTCATCTGAATTTTTAATGCTAATTAATAATAATAAAAAAAGTTATCGGTACTAGATATTCAATATTTATAGTACTCAGGCATGTTAAAAAAAGAATTTTAGTAAAATAAAATAATACAATGCGTATTAAATTACAAAAGGCACCAAAAAAAAAGTAGTAGTAAAAATTTAAAATGTGTGAAAATGCCATACGAAAGGGGTCAATTTGAGGAGTCAATTATCTATCATATAAGTAAATGAGGAAACATCTTATATATGTGCAGTAGTGTTCCATATCTAACTTATGAATACCACAGAGGCGTGGTTGAAACTTGAAATACGAAATGAGTTAACCGGTAAAATAAACACGATAAATAAGAGTTTTTTAAAGAATATATTATTAACTTAATACCAAGAAGTGCAATCTGAAATTTACTTGATGTTTTAATGTCTAATAATTTGATAGATAACATAATTTATATTAAAACTTAGATATTTTAATTAAGTACCTAATACTAATACTGATTTAAGACGCTACCGCGTAACTTGGTAGGTACAGATTGAAATTGCCATCAATCTTAATATTGAGAATATATATATAGACTCTAAATATCGTCTGTATCAGTACCGATTGATAATCGAAAATATCCTGAGCCTGACAATTAACTTAACCATATTTTATAATGAGTAATAATTATAAGTTAAATTAATACTAGATTATAACATTAATTCGTACAACTTATATATAGGTAATCACTAATCACTAATAATAATAAATACTTACTATAATTATGCTATATATAACTGAATGCATTTTAAATTAATTATTTGGAATCCTTCTACTCTGAGACTGGATAACAATCTAGTTCAAAAGCTTTTACGCGAATGTGAATTCATCCGATGGCGCATGATTGTACAAACTGAGAAACAAAACAAAAAAATCAACGACTAAAACCACGTTTACCGCAAGATCTCCTTCTTTCAGATTCAAGCAAAAACGAAGATCAATAACTAACTAAATAATAATTGTCATGTAACTTGTATGTAAACAAACTTGAAATAGCATGTAATACTGAAACATTTTAATTATAATAAATAAATAAAAAAAAAAAAAAACTAATTATTATAAAATCAAAACTATAAATTACTAGTAGGTATACTATAATGTAGATTATATTTAAATAGCTTAATCATATGTGTAAACAGCGCATAGTGGCTATACCACTCAATGTTCCATTTTATACTTTGCTCCTTTGTCTCGTAACAAAATACGTACTTGATTCATAACATTTACGATTCAACGAAAGTAAGTAGAGTTATACCGTGGACGGCGATCACAACCTTCTAACTAATGAAAAATTTTAAAAATGTTGAAAAAAATGATGAATTTTATCCCCTTTTTATATCGTAAACATTCCATACCATACTTTTAAATAACAGTACCCGTCGGTGTGAATAAAATATATTTATTGGTAAATTAAGCGATAGGTGTATTTTAATAAGCACATATTTTTTGATGCTACTGCAGGTGTGAAATACCGGAATGCGATGCGCCGAACTCGAAAGAACGTACGTACCAGCCTGAATGGTTGCAGTTCACAATGCCTTATAGAAACGATACGAAACAACCGCGCAAGTGTCAGCGGTACGCTGCGTTGTCTGGTCCATTGGTAAACGGTACGCGATGCTCGTCCAGTGGATTCAACAACGACGCGATCGAGTGGTGCCGCGACAGTTGGGTATTCGAAGACTTCGAAAACACCATCGGCACGGAGGTACGTATAAATACGGTTCTGTGTTATGATAAGACGAGCGTATACATTATCACGTAGTTAGTCCGTTTTCCGGTGTTCGTAGCAACTTTTTCGTTTATACGATTTCAAAAATCTGACAATATTATAGGAACATTACAGTGAAATTGCATATAAACTAATTTTTACTTTGTATAAAACGTAAATAATATAATCAAATTTTATTCAAAATACACAGTTTATACATTAATGATATTTTATATTATATTGAAAACTTATATTTAAAATAATTTTGATCCTATAAACAATTTGTCTATATGGATATACCTATACAAAAAAAAAAAAAAATAATTTAGCAAATAATATCGAAATTGTTTTAAACAAAAAAAACATTTTTTTTTTTTTTTTTTAAATGTTATACTTTTATATTAATATAACGTACCAGTTATTCTATAATACTTTTTTGGTATAGTCTTCACTTTTTTATTTTATTTTCAAATAAAATACTTTTTTTTAAATATTAATAGATCTTTATAAATATTAAATCTTAAAATATAAGTTTTTAAATTTCTAAATATACGTGTCATACAAATTAAAAACACAAAGACAAGATTATATATATATTAACATTGCGAAAATCACCATGTAATAATTTTACTTACCAATTATTATTAATATACATATATTATTACTAAGTAGTTTGGACTAATGTGCGAAGATAACAAATGGAAGCTGTCGATGGTGGGAACGGTTAACAACTTCGGTCAATTTATCGGAATACCAATGTCAGGGATAATTGCCGACAGGTGAGCACCACTAATAAATATGAATCTTGCAACGTTTTCTATCTCAGTTCTTACAACTTTACCGGATATCAAAATATTAGATTTTCTGCTGTTTAAGGTGACTCCTATAAGTTAAATATAATTTTACTAAAATGGTAATAGGTATTGCTCCTAAGACGTAACACCTGCATGACGTATTGTCTTCATCTTACAAACTGAACATTAAAGCAAATTTGCATTCAGCAAAACCAACTTTAAGTTATTAATTGTATTATTAAAATTAATTAGATCTATTATAAAATTTAAAGGAAAAAATCTCATAATTATCTACATTTTTGCGTAGATTTTTTGCAATATTTTAATTTTTAACCAAATTATGAGTATTTTTGAATTTATATAGCTTAAAAAATTGAAAAGCCTACCTACAAACATTGATAACATTCTAAATATGTTATATTACTAGTCAATTCGCTCTAATATTAGTATTAAAACCCATTGTAAAATTGGTTGCGACGAAATTCGTACGTAATACAGCATTCGTAAGATACAATATAACCCGTCCAGTTCATCTCGACACTCGGCAATCGTTACAATTTAAAAAAAAAAAATGTGGGCCAAAAACTATATGCTTATATTGAAAAAATAATATCATAATGCTTCAGACTAAGATAGAAAGTAGGATTAATATTATATTGTTTTCAATATGATAAATTAATGTACCACTGTATTTGTAAAATGGTAACAGTCGCCGAGTGCCAATAAGATAAGCTGGACGGGTTATATAAATCATAATAATATTACCATAGTAAGCAGTAAGTATCAGACGACCTACTGGAATAATATGTCAAATGCCTGTTGTTATGTATCCATTTCAATTCACCAAATTCGTTAAATACCTACCTATACAATTATATGGATATAAAACATACATATATTTACATACATGAAACGTATATATTATAATAGTATGATATGCGGTGGTTACTCACAAGTATTGAGTGCACTTATATACTTTATACGTATAGAGTCACCCTCCAACTATATGCACACACCATGACTATAGGTCTATACCATTTGTAGAGGCGTAGATACATGTAAGATATGGTCTAGGTCTACGAACGAGAATGGCGAAGTATTTTGTGAGAGGGCACCGCAATTTCACAAACTATTAAACGCACTCGTTAATCTATTTAATGTTTGTACAGTTGAATCATAACTAATGTTAAATGAGAACCTTAAAGTTGTATCAAATATTTTAGTATTCGTATTATTCGCTTAAACACATGGAAAATACGATTAGGTGGCTCACTAAGCAATTTACAATTTTTATCTACCTACGCATACAAGTGAAAACTTGTGTGTACGGAATATTAGTAAAATTGTTGAAAACGTGTATAAGATAAACTTATCGTAATAAAAGATGTACCGTTGCATTTGATTGCGTTGCATTAGCATATGGTTAATCTTTCCGGCGCGGCGCAGCTATAATGATAGATAAGAGTGCAGACACATATTTTTTGCCAAAAAACACGTTTTTCTAAAAAACAAACAATAAAAGTTACACACAATACCTTTAAAGAATGACTTGAAGTGGATGAGACGCTTTTATCTATTTAATAGCTTCATGTATTTTTTTTTTAATACCTGTATAATTGTAATTTATTTTTTTAATTTCTCAAAAAAATATTCACATAATTTTTAATCATTAAAAGACAACATTTTTAAATAACATAATATTTATAATTATTTTTATCGTTATCAAATTTTAAGTTTTTACTTATTTAAAAGATTTACTTTTTTGTATTTCATATTTAAAGCAGAATATTTCTTTAAAAATGTCAATGCATAAAAATCGAATTTCTAACAAATATATTCGTTTAATTAAAAATTATTACTTATAAATATTTTAAATTTAGATAAGTAGAGTGGCACATGGGAACCCAGATTATGTTGGTTACTGCTTCATTCATCTGGTAACTTAATTATTAATTAACCTTATTTGTTTAAATGAATACATTAAAATTCTCAAAAAAATATTTTATTTATAGTTATAAAAAACTAGAATGATAAAAATAGTAAAAAATATTAGTTTGTAATGACTTTAAATTTTTAAAAAAAATATTTCCAAAAAAGGAACCACTTTTCAAAACAATGAATATTTATTTTCAAAAAAAATACCTTGTAAAAATAATTCTGTTATTGTACTGTGTAGGCTATCACAGATTAAGTTCACGCTTTCGATATATTACATGAATAAAAATGTTCAAAAACTTACAAAATTTTATAGGTATGGCCGTAAGTTTACTATGGTGTTTTGTGCAGTTACATCGGCTGCGTTATGTATCGTTCAATCGTTTTCGACCAGTTATTTGATGTTCTTGATTTTGGAATTGTTGTCTTCGACAGTGTCCAGTGGAATTTACTCGATCACTTTTATATTAGGTATGTGAATCGTAAGAAGCTCAAATTCCCAAACAATTATCATACACAAATATTTATAAATTATACTTTTAAAATGTCCTTTAGTTCCATGACTTATTAAAATATATTGAATATATAAGACGTGAATGTGAATTAAAATTATGTTTTTCTCTAATTATAGCAATGGAGTTATTTTTGCCCCATCAGCGTGTACTCTATTATTCGATTCTAGAATGTTTCCTCCCGGTCGGCTCTATTTTAGTGGCTTATGTCGCTAGCTTTGTGAAAGATTGGAGACTCTTATTGCAGATAGTTAACATCCCGGGATTACTGTTCTTGTCATACTTTTGGTGATTATCTTGGAATTTTTTTCTTTTTCGTAAATTAACACAATATTTTACTGTTATTTTCTCACATATAGGCTAACGGAAGAATCAATGAAGTGGTTAGAAAGTCAAGGTAAACACGACAAAGTTATCAATACGCTTAAGAAAATTGCTGCCGTCAATAAAAAGCCTTTCCCTAACCTGCATTTGAATACCCAAACACAGGTAATATTTTAAATTCAAATAACATTACACTCGTCTGAGCATATACGAGTACAGTCACATCGTACACTAACAGTTTATGATGAGGTTCAGTTTTAAATTACCTAACGAATCGAATGCATATATGACTTTCGCAGAGCATGGAATGTTTAGAAAAAAACGATGCAAATTTCAGCGGCATCTTGAAAGACATAATTCGTTCTTCGACTATATTCTGGAGGATGATCAGGTGTTCATACGTGTGGTAAGATCGCTAGTTTAATAATTTAGTCACATTTATACATATTAACGTCACACAATATTCATATAATGTAGTAACAGTAAAAGCCGCTTATTAAAAACACTTTGGGACCAAGGTAAATTGTGTCAATTAACCGGTTGTTTCTAATAAGCGATTGAAAAAAAAAATGAATAATAGATACGCGAAAATATATGTATGTATATATGTACCTATATTGTATAATTTAAAAAAGTATGCACAAATGTATATATTTTACGATATTATTTAAAATATTTATCAATCGTAATTTGTTTTTTTGCGTCGAGTAACTCCATGACCTTATTTTCATACGAGTAATATTTCCCCTTTGGCTTTGTCACTTATTTTGAGTGTGTATGTGTGTTCAGGTAGAGCTTTAAAATAAAGCCCAGTCTCGTCCGCATTAAAAATATCAGAGGGTGTGTATTGGGCTAGCAAATCGGTCTAATGAGTTTCAAACCACGATTGGTCGCATAAAAATTGGAAAAGCGTTTAGACTATTTTAGATTTTTAGAAAAAGTAATCACTAATAATCTTTACATACACACGCTGAAGTTAAACTACAAACGGTACAATCGGTACATACAGAAAGAACATTCTCACGATAAATTACAGTAAAAATAAACGTAACGATAGCAAAGATAAGATTGAAGTGCATTGGTTACCGCCGGATAATCGGTGTATATGTCAACTGACCTTCTCCCAATTTTTTCAAATAACCGATGTGGTGTTTCAATAATCCGATTTATTTTCAATGTTCTTATATAAGTCCGATCCGTTCGAGAAATTTTGTTTCAATAACACGATTGTATCAATTATCCGTGTTTCTAATAAGCGGCTTTTACTGTATATAAAACATGTATAACCATTAGTATTCTGCTTTTCGCAGTATAGTAAGTATTTTTTAGAGACGTTAAGATTTTTTTTTTGCAAACCGGTTAATTGTGTTAATAATATTATATAAAAAAAAAAATAATGGTAGGTATTCTTCAATTTGCTATGTAAAATCATATAAAAAATTTAAACTTAAAAAATATTAAATTGTGTAATTATAAAGATAAAAGATTAATATTTTAAAATTTCTCGTTGCCAAGTTTTCGATTAAAAAAATCGTAAAAGGAACGATAAAGTATATATTACACTTGATTTTTATTTTATATAATAAATACACAATTTATCACCCCCTTATTAATCTTTAAATAAATATTCACTATATAATATATTAATATATCATACTATCAATGGTCGGAAGAAGCTGGATTCTATATCTGATGCAATTGACATAAAATCGCTTTGCACATTATCATAGCGACAACCATTATACAACACGCTAGAAATTTACGGTCAGCTTAGAGAACATTTTATTATGTCGCTACTTACAACCTATTCAATGAGAATTAAAATATTTTAAATAATGTGTTCCGTGAATAAAGAAATTGTTAATTTTTTTTATTACATACCTATATAATTTCTTGCACAATGCAAGATAATACAACACGCATGATAATGATGAGTGCAGTATTTTTGAATTTTTAAGTAATTCTACTGATATTATTAATATTACTATGTGTTATACGTTATACGTATCAATTAAATAAGCTAATAAGCATATAGTATCATAGATAAAAATATCAGACAATACATTGTAATATTTTATTATCATTTTTTTCTTTTTCAGTAGAGCTTTCGAATTCAAACGTGAATTAAGATTTACGTGATCACGTGCTTTTTGTTCACATGTATTTAAAATATAAGTATCAGTGAATTAAATTCACATATAATTAATTAGTAAATCATATTTATTTTACGTTAAAATATTTAAAAAACATACTTATGTCAATAATTTCCGTAAAAACCTATAAACTAAAAATATATCTATCTACTATTTTAAAAATAAATGTTTCATAAACAGTATTGTTATAAAAAAAACGAAACGGATGGAGCAATGTATATAATTTACTCACACAACATCAACGTAAAAATATTTTTTAAACTGTTCTAAAAATAAATAATTGATTAGATTACCGATATGTAAAAACTAAAAACCTTTGGAAGATACTTAATGTATTGAAAATAAAAGTCCACATCTAATAATAAACACATAATTTAACTAAATGTAAAATAGTTTCAACGTTTTCTCTTTTTCAGATTTATTGAATTTTTATTTTTAAATTATTTAATATTTTGTCCTATAAATTAAAAGTTTTATAACTTGTAACGGTTTTAACTATGAAAAAGTTTAAAAAAGTATAAATGCATTACATTTAATTTTTTTTTTTTGGGGGGGGGGGGGGGGGAATGCTGTTTCTAAAAACAGTTAGCGTCCAGTTAGTGAGTATAAACATTGCGTATTATAGAGGCACATGATTCGTTTTAGCGAATATCTATAAAATTGCGAAAGTATTTTTATTGATGTTTACTGTTTGACTTACTAAGAGTTGTGTTTTTTTTACCTCTGACAGGATAGCAGTAACCCTGGTATACTACGGTCTAACGGTAAGCTCGACGGACATTGCAGGAGACAAGTATCTAAACTTCTCGTTAGTGTTGTTCATTGAAATCCCGGCTTGTCTATTAAACTGGTTGATAATGGAAGGCATGTCAAGAAAAAAAGCGCTGTGTTGTATGTTCGTGTTAAGTGGCATCACTTGCGTCATGTATAACTTAATGTCAGGTGGTGAGTAACAACTAATAAGTATTAATTAGAACACAAATTTTCGCAAATAAAACAAACGTTCTACGATTTATAAATATACATACAGTGTAATCACGATTTAAGGTACCAGTGTACCACTCGAGATATTCATCACTCTATGATATCATTAAATTATTATTTGTAAGCAGATAAGGTAAATTAATCATTTATTTGGCATTTATTTTTTCATTTTCAGTGGTTCAAGTGAAAATTTTGTTAAACACGAATTAAGCATAAACTCAAATGTTGACTTCTCTAACTTGATCAGTTTTGTAAATAGAAAAAAAACTTTTTACACAAAAAACGTTTTAAAAAAATAATCTATCCGAATATGTAAAAAAAATAGTATTTCCATTTAAAAAAATGTAAATTGTATTGCGCATGCATACACCAAAAGTGTAAACATTTTAAAATCATAAATAATGTGTATTTAAAATTTAAATACCTCCTAAGCTCTCTAAAATATTCACTTCAACGTCCAGTTGAGATATTTAGTGGTACCTTGAATCGTGATTACACTGTATACTAGTAACGGATCTGAACCTGAAGCTCATTTAAGGAGGAGGCGAATAATTAGTATTACTAGAGGGTCAATTAAAACTAGCAAATCAGAAAAAAAACAAAAAAAAGTCATTCAAAATCATTCAAAATATGCATTTTAATTATTATTTATTTTGTTCATAATGTGAATTAATGTAGCACGGACCAGAAAAAAAAGGCTCTGAATTATAATAATTATTCGAAATTTGATAGAATTAATTTGTGTATCTTTGTTGAAATCAATTAATTTTAGTAAAACACGAAAAACTTTATCCGTCTGTTTGATTGTTAGATTTGTAACGGCGTTTATTATTAAGTAACTAAATGTTTTTTATAAATTCAATTAGCGTTATTAGTTTATTACCTACTTCTTCATATTATTATTCACAGAGTACAAATATAACAAGTCCCTAATAATTAATAAGTAATACCTAACTAATAATATTATTCTGTTGCTTTTTCTCTAAAAACAGAATTATTCTTGATAAAGCTGTTACTGTTCTTGGTCAGTAAACTTGCAATATCCATCGCCTTTTGCATAATTTACATGCTGACCGCTGAAATATTTCCCACCAGGATGCGGGCCACCATGATGTCCATGTGCTCTATGCTCGGTCGGATAGGGTCCATGTTGGCGCCTCAGGCCACGCTGCTGGTAAGTATAATATATCATTAGTAAAGCTAGTATTTAAATTACCTAAAAACTCTAAAAATTAACTTAAGTAATGAACTTAGATAAGCGAAAAAAAATAATTTTAAAATAATTATTATTTATTTATTTTTTGTATTACACAAAATAAGTAAAAATTTGTATCGGCATCTAACTCACTCATAAAACTATACGTAAAAGGCTTCCTCTGTTGACTTAATTTTTGACATTTTTAAAATTTTCAAAGTTACCTTTTTAATATTAATCGTAATATTATTTATTCAGTATTGTGTACAGTTAAGATTGGTGTAAAACCAAATAGGTACGTATCGTAGGTACTCACTTCTAAAACTTCTATTGTATTCCTATAGTTTTAGATTCGTCCGATATTTAATCTTATCGTAAAAACTAAAAATCGACAATTAATTATATGACTTTTTCAATATCAATGGACTGGAGTAAGTAATTATAATATATTGGTTTAGAGCCAAAGTGTGACACCCCGTACAATTTATATAGTGGACTATTTTTTTATCATGGATGGTTTTTACTTCATGTTTTAAATATGCACTATTCACTCTTGACTCTTGATAGGATAAAGGTACTCTCTAAAAATATTAAAACAATAATAATTATAATGATATTTTCGATTTTTAAAATTTTTAAAAATTACCTACGATAGTTGGCAACAACTGCAGACAAATATCTGTGATCTGTTTTATTTTCAAACACATAGCATTTCCAAGATTATAGTGTTTAACGTAAGCAAGTTGAAAATTAAAAATTGTTTTAATTAAATAAAAAAAAAATAAATAAACGTAAAGTCAAAGATATTTTTAAAATTTTCATAGTCATTTATCACTAACGTAAAGAAACTAGGTAGGCTACTTACCGCTGCAGCTAACTGAAACTGCGCGCGGCCGACCAATTCCCAGCGCATCAAGTCTGGACACCAAACACAGAAAGCCACTGAAAACTTTATATTCAACTATTATACTGCAGTATCATGTGCGCTCATTTCTGCGCTGGATTCACCCATGTTTCCTCCTCCACATCCATACACACATACAAACACACACATTTAAATAGTAGCAACCTGTCTTTATAATTAACGGTCAAATGTTGTTTTCAGACCGAGTATTTTGGAGTGTTTGCGACAATGCTCGTATTTGGATTAACCGCGTTCGCGGCCGCAGGCATCACCATGACTTTACCGGAAAGTAAGAATATCAAGTTGCCGGACACCATCAACGAAGCCGAAAAGATCGGAACCAATGTCAAACCACAAAACATCGATATAAACTCGCCGTAGAGTTCCTATTACACTTTAACGATTATCATGTATAACAATACTTACGCTCGATGAAAGCATAATATTGTTTTTCATACTTTTGTATATTATGCGCGCCACCCGAACAACATTTTTACTATCGCAGTTATGTTTAGATATTGCAAATTACTCACGGACAACCAATTTATTTATTATGAAAATGGGCGTCTACGATCTCCGGATCGGGGGCCGCACACGCGTTAGAGAGAGTGGGTGGTTGCAGGACCAATTAACCTGTTAACTTAATTTTAATATAACCATATTATAACGAGCTAGTATATAATTGCTTATCTATAATAATTATAAGATAATCGCGCTATTCTATACATAGTAGCTTTTTAATTATCTTAACAATAGGCTCTTTTCAGTCCTTCCAAACTTGTCATTTTAACACAATTGTTAAAAATTAATTGTAAATACCACACATAACTGTTTCAAACTGATAAACAAACTACTAATTGAAAGGCATAGAACTATACGATTTGACTTAATGTACTCTTAGAATGATGCAATATTAATATAATGATACATAAAAAGATGAGAAAATGTACAGAAATATGTTTTTATAGTGTCAATAAATACACAAATTATGTAAATGATTCTCAGTGTCTAATGTTTTATAAAGCTAATGCTGAATAACTTATTTAAAAAAAAAAAATTGTAAAAAAATTCTACACAATACTAGGTTTTTTTAGTTAAATCATAATTCTAGCTTATAATGTTACTTAAAAGAAAAACACGATTTGATTACAAAATTGGATATTTTATCAATAATTAATAATCTCATTTTACCATAAGGGTTAATTTATTATAGGTATTCCTTTTCACCTACAATATTAAATTTGATAACAAAATTAAATTCATAAAAAGTATAAGATTATAGAAGGCATGAATTTAAAACCTACATTGTTATAAATAATAATACTTAATAAACAACAGTTATGCTTTACAATACATTTTAATTAGCTCAATATTCTCTAAATTTTATCAAATAAATATTTGGTAAATATTATGGAAGTTTGCTTTCTGTTATTAGGAATATAGGTAATTCTTAAATTTTTATTTCAAAATTTTATAAATAGTTAAATAAAATTATAATTGTTATATTTCATTTGATGTGTTTTGTTACAAAAAAATTTATTAAATATAGTTACAAATTACAGCATACTAGTTTAGAAAACTTCACTATTTTTTTTTAAATCATCATAATAAAATATAAAAAATTATGAAAAATGAAAAAAATAATATAGGTGAAATAAGAAGAAAAAGATCAAAATTAATTACAAATATTTTATAAGTATTCATCTTATTTTATAAAATATTAGATACTCTAAAAAATGTGAGTCGATAACTAATAATCTTTAACAGCAAACAATTTTACAATAAGAAAATGTAGTATTTAAATTTTCATTATTTTTTGGGTGAAATATTCATCTTGAGCAACTAAGATGCCACTTGTTTAGTAACAAACCAATTTTTAGTATTAGGATCCAGTGAAATAAAAATTACATTATAGAGCCATCATAAAATTTAAAATATGGAATAGAATTTAATTATTTTTAAGTTGTTTTCTTAAGGCTTTTATTGTTATAATTAAGCATGACAACAATAATAGAATTTACTTATTTTTTCTATGTGTAGCTGTAATTAAACAATTATTCAATTAACAAAAATATATTTCAAAAACAATAGCTTTGCATTTTGTAAATTTGTATGAAAAAAAATTGATCCCATTCTAAAAATTTGGAATAAAATAAAAAGTAACTAAGAAATAATAAGAATCATTTTAATTAATTTATTAGAATTTTACAAAATTGATTCTTAACATTACAAGTAAAAAAAATACTTAGTATTATTATTAAAAGTTAGTAACTTGAATTAGTGGGTAAAAAAATAAGATACCAAGTGTGTACAACAAAAAATTACGCGTCGTCATCATTATCAGGTGCACGTCCTCCAGGTGCTTTAGGACCTCCAGCTCGTTTGGCCATTATGATTTGATCAACTTTCAGTATTGTACATGCAGCTTGTGTGGCATATTGCAAGCCCCAAAACTTGGATAAGTAAGAATCGACAATTCCAGCTTTGGTGACATCTATTAATGATGATCCTTTAGGCTAGAGAAATAATAATAATTATAAATTAAAAAAAAAAAAAAATCCACCAAACTAAAAACATACTTCAATGTTAAAACCAGCATTTTTATTTCCCTTGCTATGTTGGGAATAAAGTTCAGCGAGAGTTTCATTAGATTTCACACCAGTGTTATCAGCTAAAATTTTAACAAAACCTTCAAGAGCAATTGCAAACCTTTTCGCACCATATTGTTCTAAACCAGGCAATGTGTCAGCATATAAACCTACTTGGTAAGCAAGTTCCATTTCTACAGCTCCAGCACCAGGTAATAATTTTCCATCCTAAAACGAAATTAAAAACACTTATTTTTTTATTTATTCAAAATATACAAAACAATTTAAATTTTAACATACCCTGGTAACGCCTTTAAATGTGTTTACACCATCATCAATTGCTCTTTCTATATCATCCATGTAGTTATCAGTAGCACCACGTACAACAATTGTTGACATGCGCGAGTCTTTACCATCTAAACGGAATACTACTAATGAAGTGTCTCCAAGTTCATCTACATACACACAGTCAGCATAACCAAGTTCTTCTTTGTTTGGAGGAGTCTAAAGTTAAACAATTTCCAACATGTTAAATTTTAATTTAAAAATAAATAAATAAATAAAAATTATTTTTTTGATATATTATGATTATAAAATGTATTCTGAAATATGATAAATTTTACACATAACAAAAAAAATATAATTAAATTACTATGGAATAAATTACACCGATGATTATAATTAATTTAAAATCAGATGGAAAACTCTTATTTTTATCAAAAAAACTATGTTTAAAATAGTTTTCCAGAGTTATTTTACTTCCAATTCTTATTTTTCAATTAAAATCATACCCTTTTATAAAATAGTTATGTTTTGTTAATATTTATACATAAATACTTACAAGTCTGGGTAATGCAGTAGCTGAGACGGATTTACACAATCGTCTCAAATCAAATTTGCTCATTAATCGAACACCCATAATTTTATATTTGTTTAAATAATGTAAGGCCATGTCGCCAAATTTACCACCAGCAACAATTACAGTGACACCTGCATCAGCAATTGCTTTAATTTGTTCTTCAAGCACCATTTCTTCACCACGGCTGAAGCTTTGTAATTCTTCTGCAGATTTAATTAAAACTGTTCCCTAAAATAAATAATTAAAATATTAAATTATACACAAATTTGTATTTCTGTATTAATCAGCTATAAATTATAACATACTTTTGTCTCAGTTGTAGTAATGTCAATAGGACATGTATATACAGCAATCTTAGCATTAGTCTGTTTAGTAATATCACCTTCATTAGTACGTTTGAATACCATACCATTTACAACAGTAGAGTTATATAAATTTGATCCCTAAACAAAAAAATTAATAAATACAAAATTAAATTAGGTAGTACTAATTAAACAAATCTAAAATAAATATAATTACCAAAATTTTGCACACTCTAACATTGTCTACATTGAATGTTGCCTTATCTGGGAGAATAGAAGCTGAAAATATAGTTAAATTTTAATATTACTTAAAAATGAAATCATGAGTTCAAATATAATACTTACTGCAAGCTTTCAACACAAGATCTGTGATAAACTGTTCTTGGCCATATTGTTTGCTCATAATGGATGATTTTACAGCTTGTGTTAATACTATTTGTTCAGCATTATTCTTGATGTCTTTAATTTCATGACAAGTCAAGGTAGGTAATAATTCAAGAGTCTTTTCAAGAGCTACTTGGAAACCTTCACATACTTCAACTGGTGTTAACCCCTTTAATTATTAAAAATTAAATTATCATAAAAGATTGATAACTGAAAGTTAAGAAAATACAGGTACTGACCATTTTCAATAAATGTTCGGCTTGTTCTAATAATGCTCCAGCAAAAATGATAACAAAGTTGGTTCCATCACCTACTTCTTGCTCTTGCATTTCAGACGCAAATACAATGATTTTAGCAGCTGGATGTTCAATCTACACAAATATTTGATTAAAAAAATGAATACATTTGATGAGTATCTGAAACACTTACATCAAGTTCCTTAACAATTGTGGCTGCATCATTAGTGATAAATATCTTGTCAATATGATTTATAACTATTTTGTTCATACCATTTGGACCATATGCAGTTTTAACAGTGTCAGAGAACTGTTTGCAGGCACCAATGTTCCGATATACAGCTTCTTCTAGACCAGAAAGATGCTAAAACACGTAAATAAAATCCAAACATGATCAGTAAGTTTATTATATGTATATTACCAGTAGTTATGTTCACAGAATACTCACCATGGCACCATCCTTTAACATTTGAGCAAAACCCGGAGCTTTCGGTACGTGTAAAGCCATTTTAATAAGTTTTTATTCTACTGAAACGTTGATATTATATAATAAATGAAGAATAAAGACTTCAAAAATATCACTTAATAATTTAAAGTTAACTTGTAGTTAATAAATTTAAATAATTTTTGCTCACAAATTCGGAATATATTGTAATTTGTATTATATTTTTGAGGTTAGTGTTTTAATTCAATGTTTCAATTATCTCCTTTACCGGATTTATGGTTGAAGAGGTGGGTCCCGGTTACTGCAACCTCAATTTCTCGATAACAGAGGAATAGCTGCCAACATACCAATACAAAACGTGCATATATTTATATTATTATTTATTATTGAGTTTTTTTAATAGATAAACAATCTATACAAATAAAATAACTACTAATAATTTTATTATTAATATAATAAATTGGGACATTTTTAACAAATAACATTTTTTTATAAAATAATGATTATCAAATTGTTTGCACATGATAATGATATTAATATATTATTATGAATCACGAACTAAAATACATAACTAACGTCATATACTTATTACTTTTCTTATTCCGTGTTTTGAATGTTTGTCGACTGACCACTGTCGTATGATTTGATATTATTTTTTACTCTACTATATTACTATAAACTGAGAAACTTAAAATACTTATCGACGTGTCAATATATTATAAGATCATTTATTTTATAATGATTTTTTTTTTGCAGTTTTACTACTAAGTACTAATTACTACTCGGTACTCCTGTTAAACGTTTATTTTTATTTGATAAATTTATTAATTTGTTTCATACCACTCAATTTAATATTTCAAATCAAATGAATGAAAAATGTATTAATTTAAAGGATATCTACTACCTGTTCAATAAAATTAAAACTATTAAAAGAAATATAAATATTATGTAAATATCTCAATTATAAATAAAAAAGCAACAAAAAAAATAGATGCTTTATTATATTATCGACTTAGTTATTTTATTGATAGTAATTCAAAAATTAATAAATTTATCAAATATAATACAATGAATATTTATTGATTTTAAATTAATTTTTAAAGAAATTACATTAGTTATTAGTTAATAATGCTGAAATGCAAATATATCTGTAAAGAATTATTGTCATATAATATAAATAGTTACATAAAAATTAAACAGTGTACTCTCGATTATTTCCGTAATAGGGTGGCTTGACATTTTTATTTAATTGTAAATCGCGATATAAGCAGCATTATTATTATTTTTATGTAGTTTTAAAATAGCCAATAGGTACTTACTCAAATGATTTAATGATAGTATGAAACTGGGTACTTGTCCAGTTGTCCCTCACTTATTGAAATTTCACAAACAAAATAATTATAATACAGTCCGTACTATCTATAACAATGGCCAGTTTCAATTAGTGTTTCGGTTAACTATTTAGCCCAATTAACGCTACTTATAATAATAGTGTGAAGGTACCCTATCTAATATCTATGTAAGTAATTTAACTAATAGTATAAAACAATCATTTGTGAAAATAATAATATACAGTTGTAATATACGATAAAAATGTGTGCGGTGGCCCAATTTTTAAGTCGTATTAGACGATATTGTCGTTACGTCCAATGTTGTTGTAACCAGTTATTTTGTAAGTATAGGTGAACAAAATTTTTCCAGATTCTTGAAATTAACGTCGTTATATCCCATATCATTACGACCGGCGTTGTTATAGATGGTACTGACTGTATCTAAATGAGCACATGTTAACTCCCCTAAAAACATTTCACTAAAAATTAAAAGCTTTTAAGATCTGAGGTCCAAGAACATCACTTAGAGCAATGATTTTCAACCGATGTTCTGTAAGCTCCCTTGAAGTGTGCCACAAAAATTCTTTAGGAGATGAAATGTACCGCATTGTTAAAAAGGTTGAAAGTCACTGACTTAAAAGTTCACACTTCACAACATAATAGTTATAGAAATTAATAATAGATTCTATAATATATTACTCAATAGTCTTAACTCTTAATGGTCTTAGTAAGTTTATGGATAAATATAGAGAAACGAGGTTAAAATGGTTAAATAAAACAAAAGCTTAATGCACATGAGTACGCTATACTCATTACTCAATAATATGTATATGCTGTATTCGTCTTACAAACATACAATAGAAATTATTGTTCAAAAGAACCAATTTTTGTTAGTTTTAAATATTTTAATAGACTATAGTTAAACTTGAAGATTAGATTATTATCTATATTTGAACGAGGTTATTAACGATATTTTAAATTTTAAACGAATTATGAGTTGTGCAAAGTATAATCAAATGTTAATAACTTACTACTCTTGAGTATATTATGGTACATTGACAATTGACATAAAAAAATTATAAAATTAATTAGTCAGATGCTTGGAGTCCTTGGACTTTTTACATTCAATCGCTTTTGATTTTGCCTTCTTACGATTCGACATGTCTGTTGGATTATGGATTAAGCAATCGTTCTTTTTATTTTTTTCCAGTTCTTTGAAAACCATGTTTCTGTTTTCATTATTTCCACTAAGTAAATTTATATTTTTTATACCAGATAATACCACTGATACCAGAGTATCATTTCTTGCACTTCACTAACCTCCGTGTTTACTATTTAATTTTGTTTTGGAGTTATGTGATCTTCATTAACACTAGTCACCCTCTTTCTATTCGTTGTATTACATGGCAATAAAATTGACATTTACTATTAAAATGTCCACTGCTTAATATCGTTTCATAAACAGTTTTATTTTTAAAATTTTTTTTTTTTTGCATCTCAAGGGCAACTTCTTAATTATATCAATTTTGTCCAAATGTCAAATAAAATATTATATAAGTTTTGCCTAACTATATTTAGATTCTTAATGAATGATGAATATATTGTTTACACAGTATAGAGAAAAACATGGCCGGTATATATTAAATAGGTATGTAAGGTATATGTATAACATAAGCCAATTGCCAATATAATATACATATTATCACTCATTTCACTGTCAACGGTTACTATAATACAGTATACACACTATAAGTAATGAGTGAATTACACCCATAACGAAATTAACAATATCCATACCTTTAGTCATCAATATAAATATATTAATAAATGCATGGTATTTCCGTCCTTTTCGTGACTATACCTACGTTAGTACTGAAGTACAACAGTTACAATAGATATTTTTATGGTCACTATTCATTAATCACTAATCTGTATACACAAATATAATAAACTGAAATTAATGTACAAAACCAAACTATATAGGTATATTGTTATTATTATATTTATTTGTGAGGAATTTTATTGATTTATTTTTATTATAGACCTAGTACCAGTCATTTTTTCCCAAATAGTATTTTACCTGAAAGTCCAAAAACCTGAAACCTGTTTTCCGATGGTTATTGTTCCCAAAATAAAAAAAAAAATTAAAAATGTTGTTAATACTGGCGTATTTTCTATGTATTATATTTTATACATATAACTAAAATACTACTATTAAATAATGATAAAGATGGTATTTACGAAAAAGTATGGGTATTTTCAATTTTGCCTTTATCACAATTTACCGCCATTACAACGACATATGTATAATAAATAATAATATATACCATTACTATCTTTGCCACATGAACATTTAATTGATTTATATTTTACACCTATATCATTGTGCGCTTGTGATATTATCATGATTATTATCGCTTGTATACACGTAAATCGTTGTAATTGTTGTAATCGTTAAGTTTCATTATTCGCGTACTATCAATTTTCGCTATACTTTTATTTTCATTTTCAGTACGTTTTATCGTATAAGCTTATTTTAATTTATTTTATTTCACCATATATGTATTATAATTTTTTGGATAAAATACCATTGGGGAAAAATGCATTCGGAAATTATTTCGATTCAGGAAAAATACCGGTAACCCATCGACCTTATATTCTTCAAGTCTCTTAAACGACTTAACTGAGTATAAGGTCTATGATTTATATAGATATAATATAACCTAAGGGGCGATCCTAGAGTTTATTTTTAGGGTGGTTTAAACTTTAAAGTGAATATTTCCGACTTTATACTAAATATTATAGTAATAATTACATTTTTCTAAAATAATAAATAGGTAACAAATAGATATGAAATTATATATATTTTTTCAGATTATTAAATTTAATATTGACCTGAAAACAAATTTCATTCATGTTCTACAAAATCAAAAAATACTATTTTTATTTTTCATATTTTATGATATTGAATATTTATTTAAAATGGATATTTTGTTATTTTAAAAACATAAATGAATAATTTTTTTAATAAGTTTACCGACAATTAAAGAGCATAATTAAACAAAAAGTTGGATTTAAAACGTTGGTAAAAATTTCTGAAATATATAAATATCTTATTTGTTGGAAAAATACCATTTTATGACAACAGAATCTATTTCTAGTTTATCGACAAGATCTTTTTTACAACTTAATATTATCAACGAGCTAAGACTGAAGTCATCGTGGAACGTAAATTCTATTTTATAAGTTTCAATTTACTAAAAGTCCGTTCACTAGAAGTTGTTGTAAACACTACCACAATCGAGACATTTAAGTTTAAAATGTTTATGTTTCGATTCCATATTTTCACAAAAATTGTCGCTTAAATAAATTAAAATCAAAATGAAATTGAAACGAATGCCTAATAGTCAGATTATGTTAGATGATAACTAATTAGCATCAAAAGAAAATGTTTGCATAGTTATAATATTTGTATGAAAATATGAAATAAAAATAATTATTATACCGAGCGTAGCGAGGAAAATTTTAAAAAGTTGTTCATATTTTCATACAAATATTCATAAAATATACCAAGGGCGCAAAACAATTTCGCCCCCCCCCCCCAAATAATGGCGCCGAATCTATACATGAACTGAAAAGATCGCTTCATATAGTAAATAGAGTGGGTGGTTTTTGTGTTTTTTTTACATTTCATAATATTTATACTAAATAATTAAATAAAAACCTAAAATTATTAGTTATTAGAGGTAGACAACATATTATTTCCTAATCCATTTTCCAAAATATTTTGATTTTGCTTCACTTAAATTAGTAAAATGTATATAACCTGGCACCACTGCCCCCATATATTAATCTTTAATGCGCTCTTGCGAATAGCGATAACCACAAAAAAGTCAACGATTAAAGAAAATAATAATAACAACAAACAATTAAATATTTATCATAAATCGTGTGATCGTGTGAAAACCGAATAAGAACATGTAACGCATATAATATAAAATTATAGGAAATATTGAGAGTATCTTGAACTGATTAACAGCAGACATGGGCTCTTATGGGTACCTAATCTTTGATTATCCGTTTGCCAAAAATCTTGTAGGATATTTATTACAACTAAACTATATTTAATGGTTAATGTGTATTAATTTACCTATTTTATAATATGGAAGTTTCAATAGTTTCAAAATATATTACAATTGGCGAATTTTAAAAATTGTCGACTAGTTCTTATAGTTACCGACATCAAGAAGGCGTCAAATCCTCCCTCCTGTAAAATCATCCCCGCATAACTTAACCGTGAAATAACAAAAGAATAACTCACATAAGTCACAACATTTTACAAGTATGATATGAATAGATTAATAAATCCAATGAATATAAATCTCAAAATACGAAAACTCTGTACTCTTTATAATATAATAATATATTACTGTTTCAATTTTATTTACCGTTTTTTAATTCAAAATCAGCAAAAATGTTTTCCCATAAATCATTATTTAATTTTGCCATCAACTAATCAATATGGTTAGAGTAAACGAACGGCTTCAATTAATTTATCTTCTATCGTCGTAGGTATAGAACATACTAACGTACTGAATAAAAATTATTTTAAGTTTTAAATAAAAACTAGGTGACACACACACAATGAACTATGTTTGTCACACTGCTTAAGGTCAAACTCGAAATTTTGCTGCCGCATTATTTAGTATTTAACACAATAAGTTCATCTCCCACAAAATATCAATTATACCAATAATATTCAAAAACCTTAATGTGTGATTTATCTAACCAGAGGTTTGATTTGAATTTAAGACTAAAATAGATTATAATTTAAGTACTAATTTATTATGTACAAAAACAACAATAGATATCAGTGGGCAGTGGTTATGACTTATGAGTTATAAGTTATAACATCACTTGTTCAATTTGTACAGTTGTATTCAATAATTGTGGTAATTGGTATTATTTAATTAATTATTTTTACTAGTTAATCACATACTTATCTGTCATCAACTCGTAATATCAATATGGATTATAATAACCAATAACCAGATAGCATGTTAAAAAACATGATGTATAGTTTTTAATAGCGGCGTGAACTTTTTGAGTCTTTGAAGCACATTGTGTCATTGTATATTTTAAATGTTTTTATCACTACCCCTCCATTGGGAATATCAAATGCAATATTATTTTGATTAATATGTCAATAGTATTAAACTATTAAAAATTAAAATATACGCTGTAAACTATTACTAAAATATCAGTAATTTATTTTGTAAATACCTACTATTTTCAAACTAATTAGTTATTAAATAATAAAATTAGTAATTTCTAATGTTATAACAGTTACCTATTAACTATTGGCTAAAATACCCACAGTTTACGTCGTGACCAAGACTCCATAACCATCCGTACCATGGCGCATGTAAACTCTGTCACAACTCACAAGTACCTTTTTTACAGTAAAATCCGCCAGAAAAAAAACAGATAAAATTGGGTTCATGTAAACTCTGCCACTGAAAAAAGTTAAATAGTAGTATGAAATTAATTTAATATATTATTAACAAAATTATAATATAATATCAATATCATATCGTTCACATTAAATATTTAAATTATAGTAAGAAAATCATAATAAATAATCGTTATACCTAATAATGCAAAAATATATAATTATTTCATGTATGTAAACTAAAATGATGTGATACAAATTGTAAATATTCTAAGTCTTGTATTACTCCATACTCCATTACTATAATATATCATTGCAATAGATGTCAACGTATTTAATGTTAGAAGGCACAAGGCAATGTGAGCACTGAGCAGCTAAACAAAAAAAACTGGGGGAGTTGCATATACCTATTACGGCATTACAGGTAAGATAAAAAGATTGGCGGAGTTTACATTAGACCTTTTATTACCTTTTTATCTCAACCTGTATTCTGGCAAAGTTTATAATCGATCCGTACCCTATATATCGACATTAACAAACGACAAACTATAAGTTTACCCGTTTACGAAGATGACTATTTAAATTTATTTTATATTATGCATCTAGTACCTACATATTATTCGGTACTACGGCCTACGGGGAAAACAGCGGTAGCGTCTCATCTGATTATTGTAACCGGCTAGCACTACCTTTCTGCAATAAATTGTTTTACTGTTTATTGTTAGGCTATTACAGAGACCATCACCCGTACTAATCACTTGATCAAATATTAGCCGATCAGCCAATATAGACGATGACAATTCCACTGTTTCTATCTTGATTCTTGATGTATATAAAAGTTATACAGAAATAAAATTCAAGTTGATACTGAAATGTTATTATTCATTTTACGAGGTAGCACTATATGAAGGAGTGTGGACTGTTTCACAGTGAGTTTTCCTAGGACGTATTTTCTAAAAATAAATAATATGACATAGGTATATATATATATATGTTACGGGCAAAAGCCGAAATCGGGCAAAACGCGAATTGTCCACAATCCTTGGGCAAAATGTCATATTTCGGCTTTTGACCGGGCAAACCTAGTTATGACCAACATCATTTGGACAAAACCGCCAAAACCATATACTGACTTTTATCGTAAGGAAAAAACCGTAGAGTTTTAAATACGTTCGCTAATATTATAAACAAATTTAATAATTATAAAATAAGTATTATTGTACAAATATATAAAATTAATATGTTTAAACCTCACTTGAGTCAAACTGTAGCGTTTTAAATAACCACTAATATTAAATACAAAAAAATAATAATCATAAAATATTGTACAGATATAATTAAATACACTTAAATAATAATAAAAATATAATGATATTAAGTACTCGTATAAAAATAAACATATAATAATATTAGGTTCTCTATAATGTTAAAATAAATAATTAATAAAAAATATTGTACAGATGTAATTGAATATAATAATAAAAAAATAATATTTTTGTTTATTTGTTGCTACACATATTAGAACTACACATAATTTAAAACGCTACAGTTTGACTCAAGTGAGGTTTAAATATATTAATTAAGTTTATTTAATCATATTTGTACAATAATACTTATTTTATAATTATTAAATTTGTTTATAATATTAGCGAACGTATTTAAAACTCTACGGTTTTGTCCTTACGATAAAAGTCAGTATATGGTTTTGCCCAAATGATGTTGGTCATAACTAGGTTTGCCTGGTCAAAAGCCGAAATATGACATTTTGCCCAAGGATTGTGGGCAATTCGCGTTTTGTCCGGGCATTTCTGAGGTTTGCCCGATTTCGACTTTTGCCCGTAACATATATATATTATAATATCTTTTCTATGATTTAAATTCAAGTATAACTGTATTACACCAGTATAAATATGTTAGTGAATTAAATTAAAATTACTAAAAATAACATATGTTATACCTACCCGTACCCTGACAAGTTTACCTAAGCATGGGTAATGGGCGTCATGGCGAGGTAAATGGTTGACTTAGGAGAAAAGATCATAGACCATTATAATGTCGCTGACTTAGAAATGGGAATAATTATAATACCGCATTTAATACTTTCCTTGGCATTTCTTTAACAAGGACACAAGATGTTTTTGTATAAATAATTACATCATAGCATCAAATACCCAATCACAATATTTGGACGTCAAAACTAGAAAGGTCATCTGTATATTTATGATTAAATTCAATGTTGTATCACTTGTATCGACATTTGATATTGACTACGACAGATAACACGTGACGCTAATAAGACTAAATTAAATGACAGATTATTATAAAACATAAATGTTACAATAAACAAAGTTCATTCCCGCGTTGACCGTTATGCAGTATGCTACACGTGTCTGTAAAAATTTTGTCGATATACCTACCTGTCTAGCAGTTACTACTACTGAATAGTTGTTCATTGTCTTTGGTTAAAGTATTAGTTAAAAATAACTACAAACATTAAGCTTTTCAGCCTTATCTTTTACGCTTTTTAACTCGACACTAGGGATCACGAATAATACGAATTACGATATCCCAAAGGCAGTCGCTACTCGCTAACTTGCATAGTCAAAAATCAACATACAACATCGCGCAAAATAAATTTTTGTCATTTATCCACCTATTGCGCGCAATTTACCATTTACGTTGGCGACACCGTACACCTGTTTTATTGTCCATTAATCTACGTGTTATTCGTTACGGTCGAGAAAGGTAGGAGGTGGCAAGTGCTCATTATTTCTATAGCCGTTAACGAGCGATTTATTCTGCCTCGTGGTGTTCGTGCACGCGTCTTGCTCTCTGTGTCGGTCATAATTTAGGCGAAAAAAATGAATAACGCGTTTGACATGGAATACGATAACTTTTTGCACTACTCCCGTCGGCTGCAGATGGCTGACGCGCTAGGTGGCGTTTACGTGCACCTGTCTACGTTGAAGACTGCCAAAAGCCGATTTGTGTTCACGCGTTCTTTGCTCCGCAAACACAAAATGTTGACTCCTACGTTGAACGTCGACCTGGAATACGATGGACCCGCCTCGACAGCGAAGTTACGATTAAAAGGCAACGATTTTTTCAAATCTAAGATGTATGGTAAAGCCGCCGACATGTATACCATGTGTTTGGTAAGTAGTGATCCGACCTCCGAGTGCCACGCGCTAGCACTGGGTAACCGGTCGGCCGCGTACTACCATATGGGTCAATTTGAGCTTTGTCTGAAGGACGTGCGCTGGGCCATTATGTCTAATTATCCGCCCAAGCTTGCATACAAGCTGTATGAGAGAGCTGGGAATGCAGAACGTATGTTGGGCCTCGCCGAACGGGCAAAGGAGAGTTACGCCGAGTGTCTGATACGAATGGACGAGGTGGACATGTCCGAGGAAAATAAACTCAAGTTTCGAACGGCGGTCGACATAGCTGTGGCCCAGTGTGATGAGCGGTTGGAAGAGCGGAAAAAGACGAAGAAAGTACTTCCCGCCGAACAGCTAGTTGGTGGAAAAAATGAAAACATTCCAGCGCTTTCAGCCTTTGTGGAATTGAAAATGTCTAAAGATATGGGACGTGGTGTTTATGCTACTCATGACATTAACCCAGGTAAGTGAAATTATGTTGTTAAAAAGTGGGGTGATAAACCCATTAAGAAAATGTTAAGTAATTTTAATAAAAAAAATTTTAATTTATTGATTTAAAGTTAAGGTTAATCTGTTAACCTGTGATAGCATTATGGATAACATACTTAATATCTATTCATTTTTAGGTGATGTTGTGGCCATAGAAGAACCTTATATTTGTGGGCCTATTTCACATCATACAGAAGTTTGTAATTATAATGGTTGCTTGAAGTTGGACGTAGCTCTTTACCCTTGTCCAAAATGTTTATCGGTATGTTTTTTTTTATTTTCTACCAGTGAAAATAGTTGGTATGCAGTATTAATATACATATTATTTTTTGAACAAATATAGTATAACTTAAAATGATTTTAATTATTTGGACTACACCTAAATAAATATTTGTATAGGTTAATTCTATGGAACTCTGGTTTATTACAAATGAATCCCTTTTCTAGTACCTTAAAATACCCAACTTTTATAAACTTGCAAATAATTATTATAAACATTTCTGCATTAAATAATAAGTTTCTCAAATTCTCTTGTCTTAATTATGCCCTCTTTATCTCTCCATGGTAATAATAAATATTGACTAAAACAATATTGGTCTAAAAAATTACATTATAGACAAAAAATAATTAAATAACAAACATTGAAATAAGTTGAAGTTGTTATTGAAAAATTATTTTCTTCAAGTTATTCATGTAATGTAAAATGTATAACCTTGTAACATAGGTACTTATTATTTTAATATTACTGTTTTAACTTTTAACACTTTAAATATATTATTATTATTTTTAAAGTTGACAATTGTTTTAATTAATCTACTAATATGTACGTGTTCAATTAACTTGGGAGAAGTGTGGTTGATCATTATGACCAAAGTTGAATAACTTTGTTTTAGATATATTATTATACATTATTCAATATCTTGAAATTTCTCCTTATTTTTCATATGGATTCATATATTATTTATTATTTTATACTTAGTATAATTTATCATCAATGATAGGTCATTTAGTCCATTGAATCCAATCAGATTTAAATAAGTGAAACATATTATTTTATAAAAAATATTCTTTTTTTATTTGTACTTTTAAAAGTTTTAAGTATATCAGGGGTGGCCACCATGAATAGGTTCACGGGCCATACAGATAAATACAATGATACCAAGAACCAAAGTGTTTATTGACACATTTTATATAATTTGATAATTTTTTTTAAGCTTATACCTAAAGAATTAAAATTCATAATGATATCAAGTAAATTTTGATTTTGTAAGTAATACGCGAGCCATGTCTGACAATAATGAGAGCCACAAGTTGACCACCTATGATATATATCTTTTTTAATTTATTTTAATATGTATTATTCATAGGCCGGTGCAGAGAGAAGTTTGGCCTTGGAGATAGTCTACTCTCTAGGATATCTCTATTATAGTATAATTGTAAAGAATAATAACCTCATACCCTTCATAAGTAAATAAAACTAACTTTTAATAAACTGGTCAAAAAGACAAACCTTTCAATATATTTTATTATATATCCCTCTCCTGGATTAAAATCTACATTTCTTCTATGTATACCTATTATTTTATATTCAAGTAGATATTATAAGATAGAAAATATGTTTACAAATTAATACTTTTTTTGTCAGGTCAGTTACTGCAATAAAGACTGTATGGATAAAGCTGATAAAGATGGACACTATTTGGAATGTCCAATCATGTATTTCGTCAAATCAACACCCGGAGTAACGAGAGTGAATGAACTTGCTATGAAGTGGTTTTTAAAAGCCTATTTAAATATGGGTCTAGAGAAATATTGTTCGACAGTTGATAGCTTTTTTAAATCTAAAATAGATCCTAAAACAAGGGGTTTTGACGAAAATGGTCAATATAAGTCTGATAATTTTTTAACGGCTTTTTCTTTGGAGAGTATTGAAAACAAACTATCTATAGATCTCTTGTTTTTTTTTAACTGTATTGCAGTTGATATGTTGCATTATTTGATGTTAAGTGGCTTTAAAATTCCAGAAAGTTATATAGCTACTGTGGGTGCTTCTTTAGTGCATATTTTAACTGTTTTAGATTTGAATTGTAGAAAGTTAAACATCAATGCCCCTACTATTTCTTTTCATAAAGATCGCCAGGCTACTCTTACAATAGGATTAACTTTGTATCCAACCATTTGCTTGTTCAACCATTCTTGTGATCCAAATATTAAACGGAGTGGAAATTTATCTGATAGAATAAGGGTTATGAAAGCTATTCAACCAATTCCCAAAGGAACTCAAGTAATTATAATATATAATTATTTTTATTATAATTATAATTGATAATTTTATGTAACCTTGTTTATCATATTATATTTACTTGATGATAGAGATGATAGGATCATATTTAAATAATTTTGTATACATTTCTGATAATACAATTTTTTCTAAGACAAGTCACTACTTTATAATATGTCACCTAATATATTAAAATAAAAAGGAAATATATCAAAATATTTCTTTTTTTGTTTACTCCTTACATAATTTTTGATTATTATTATGATTTGTTTTCGAGATTATTAAAATAAAATACTTTTTTTTTATTTATTATTTTCTAGTTGTGCTGTTCTTATGGAATAATCTTTATAGGACACGAAAAAGAAGCAAGGCAAGAGTTATACAAGGATGTTTTTAAGTTTGACTGTTACTGCCAACCTTGCAAAATGAATTGGCCAACTTATCGTTATGTACCGAATCGCCTTTCTACATTGTATGCTATATATTTAAATATTATAATTCTGATTTATGTTTAAATGCTATAATTAATATTTTTACAGAAATATTTTAAACCCTAAAATGGCTAATGATGTGCAATCCGAGTGCATCAAGTTTTCAGAATTCTCCAAGTCGGTGAAACCAGAAGATTATCATCTACATTTAGATTATTTGTATTCCTTTATTAAGCTATTGTTTACTAATGTTAAACGGCCATTTCAATTATATGAGGATTGTCTAGAAATGATATGTATTGCTCATACCATAAGTAACAATGAAATAATAAGCATTTGTGGATATCAATTTTGATATTTCATTTTATGAGTTTATGAAAAGTTAAATAGTTATATAAAACAATTTATGTGTGCGATTTGTAATGATTTAAATAAGTTAATATTTTATGTTCAATTTTTATATTTAAGTACGATTCATTATTTATATTTACATTGTATCAAGATCATTTTATTTTCATTATTATTACTATCTAGTTTAACAGTATCATATTTTTGTTAACTTAATATATATTTACATATTTCTATAACTATAGTAATCAATTGAAGTACAAATGAAATAATGAGTATTTGTGGATATCCATATTGATATTTTATTTTAAATGAGTTTAATAAAAGTTTAATAGTTGTTATTATATAAAACAACAATTTATGTTAACAATTCTTGTGAGTGATTTTTAATGATTTAAATGAGTTAATATTTTATGTTTAATTTTTGTATTAAAGTACGATTCATTATTCATTTTTACATTGTGTTAAGATTATTTTTATTAGCTTAATATATATTTACATATTTTTACAACTATAGTAATTAATTTGAAGAATCCTTTCATTCTTAAATATTTGACATAACATAAATAATATGTTTGACTTATTTATATGGTTATGATTTTATTCACATTTGAGTGTAATATCAATCTTATAATAGCTAAAGTATTGGAGTGAATTAGTAATTGTATTAGTACTATTGCTTTTTACAATATTTCTTTTTTTTTTTATAAGTTAAGTATTTAAAATAGCTTGTTTTAACTTTACAAATTTTTCATGTTGCATATGGGATATATAGAGAAAACAATTGCGCACCGACATCTTTATATATTATGTATATTTATATGCGTTCATAAAAATAGAATACTTATTGGTTTACTTGATTCAAATTGTACATTATGTTAAGCATAAATGCTTTATTGTTTTTCAAAATTCTTTCCAACAACTAATTTTATGTGTCTTATATTTTCTGGGGATCAGCTTTATTCAGATATTCTTTCTTTGAAGCTTCAGACAGTGAAACAGCACACTATTATCACAAATTTTAAAGTTTAAAAATTAAATAAAGTGTAATTTAATTTATTTAAGTTTTATCATTGTTTAGTACCTTTATTAATTTAACATGGTATTTATTAACAAAGTCAGGTTATCAACTAACATAATGTGATATTCTACATTTTTGTACCAATTATAAACTAATTGTGGGCTGCAGGTCGCTGTATGCAGTGCTTGATTTAGAAAAAAAATAGAAGGGGGAATCATCGGATGTTTGATAAACGTGTGTTCCACACAAAACTAACCGCCACATTACCGTAGGGGCAAATAGAAGGGATACGCTAAAAAAAGATTAAAAAAAAAAGGGGGACTCCGTCCTCTCCCCAAATCAAGCACTGGCTGTATGTACCCTGTCTTAAACTTTGTAGCAATTATGTAGTAAAAAAAAAAATCTCATTTGGAATCTGTTATTTTTGCTTGAAGATTAATTTTCTTTATATCAATATACTTATAAAATTATGAAAATTTTAAAACTATGTATTATAGTTTAAATGGAAGTAATGAAGTATTAGATAATAAACATATTGTAACCATATTTAACGTATGTTGAATTTATTAATTTATTCCGTGGTTCAGATGCAATATGTGTATATAGCAAAAATTAAGATACTAGGTATTAGATTATTTTCATTTTTATTACATTGATATGGTATTGACTACCTTGAATGCGTAATTAATTATGTTGGTATGAATAAAATTAATTGTTATTTATACAACAAACATTAAAATATTGCATATTACAATCATAACATCCAGCATTTTCAATGTTATCAAGATTAAATTATATTATAATATGTTAAGTATTTAATGTTTTAACAATATATTATAAATGAATGTCAAATGGTAATTATTGATTAATCAATAGACAATAATGTTTCAATTTTTCATTACTTTTATTAAAAAAATTTCATGACTTCCTGGGCTACCATAAAACGTATTAAAAGTTATTTTCTTACTAAACCACAACATTTTTCAGTTATAAATCGACAACTATTATGTACTTTTTGAACTACAACATTAATGTTAAATTTCATATTTCTAAATAGAATATGTTTTTGGGAATTTCAACCGAGGAGTTAATACAATATCAATAAAAAAATTTTTTGAAAATGTTGTATTGTAATGACTTTAAATTAAGTAAAAAAAGTTTTTTTTTAAGATTCATACTTTTTTTAAAATATAATCAGACATTTTAAAGACTGTTAAAAAAAATCACCATTTACCTGATATTCGTATATTGATTATTTGTGCACTATGAAAAATTAATATTACATAGTCAACATTTATCTTTTATAATTGCTAAAAAAAAAAATGGACAAAATATATGATAGAATAAAAATACATGTTATTGTCATTATGTATTTATTTTATTTTGAAGATTGCTGTATTATTAATTATAACAATAATATTTTCTTGATTATGAATAATTAAATTAACAATTAAAAAGTATACAATTAAAAACAAACAAATTTCTGCTACTGTCGACAAACTCAAAATGCACAAAAAAATGAAATGTACATCACACAACTTATTATAAAATGAGATACGGTAACCAATAAAATATAAAAACTATTCACCTACCCCTCGAAAAAAAAGGTTAACTAAAATTAACAACATGGTTGTTGATATTAATAGAATTACTAACTTGATATATTGAGTGTAAATATGTAATATGATAACCTTGTCTGGATGTAACAGAGGGTTCTAGCCATTATTATAAATTGGCTTTTAAAAAAAGAAGTTCAATTACAAAATTATTGTTTTGGCCAAGCATACAATGGTGGCAATGCTGAACTATAACTATAATCATATAGTTGAGATTTGATGAATTCAATTTTATCTTCTGGTTCTGGGAATGTGCTGGCTACTCCAGTTTTATAGGCGTATTCAATTACTTTGTCAGCGATTTTTAAAGAACATTCCTTTATGGACTGCAGTGGTGGGTATAAACTACCGTTTTCTAAATCTTCTTCAGTCACAAGTGCTGCTAAAGTCTAAAAAAAAGTTTTAAAAAATGAATGTTAAGGTTGTCATACAATTAATATATTTTTAATGTCATGAATGAATTTTACTTGGGCAGCAATGATAAAAACTTCTTCAGATATTGTCTTGATTCCAGCACAAATAACTCCAAGTGCTACTCCAGGGAATATATAAGAATTATTTCCTTGGCCTGGATAGTAAGTTTTAGACTTGTATGTAACTGGATTGAAGGGTGAACCACTAGCAAATATGACTTTTCCCTAGTAAATGAATGTATCATTAATAACATTTTAATGATCATATGTGGCTAAAACTTACATCTGAATGTGTGTATGCTTGTTCAGCAGTACATTCAGCTTTGCTAGTTGGATTACTTAAGGCAAATATGACCGGATGTTTATTGTATGATGAAATTTCCTGTATAATTTCTTTTGTGAACACTCCACCAATAGCAGCAGCACCAATGAGTACTGTAGGCTTAACTTTTCTGATGGCTTCAGCAAGTACTTTAATTGGGGCTACAGCTTTGGCATACTCAACTTTATGTCCAGTTACTCCACCCTCAGGGCGATCTTTAACTACAAGACCTTTGGAATCAAAAAGCCAAATTTTTGATCTTGCTTCTTCTAAAGATGTACCCTCTTTAAGCATGGCCATCACACATAATTCAGCAATTCCTAGAGCTGCCTGAAAAATATTTTGCATTAACAAATATATTAAATTAATATTTGAAAAGTTAAAGAGGGGTTGTTAATAATATTATATAAATAAGATTATAAGAATGAATATTTTTCTTAACAGTTAAGTTAAATTTACAATATAATAAACATAATATTAACATTTTATTAATATTTTCTGTTTAAATTGCATTTTATAGTATCACTAAAAATGAATAAATATTTTGAATTATATAAAAAAATTACTTCTCCAGCGCCTTGGAATAAAATCACATTGTCTGATAGTCTGGTTTTGGTAATTCGAAGAGAAGCAAAAAGACCAGCTAATGCCACAGAAGCTGTTCCTTGAATGTCATCGTTAAATGTACAATATTTGTTACGGTATTTGTCCAAAAATCGGAAAGCATTGGAATTTCCAAAATCTTCAAACTAATGTACATATTTTATTAAAACCTAACAAACAATTTTGGGAAATAAACATTACTTGAATCAAACAATTTTGTCCATAACGTTTAACAGCAGCTTGCATAAATTCATCGATAAAATCATCATATTTTTGACCAGTGACACGTTTTTGTCTAGAACCAACATAATAAGGATCGTCCAGCAGTAGCTGTTGAAAATTATTAATTAAAAATTAAAATATAATAAATGTCAATACTTAAAAAGTAAAAAGTTTATTAAACATAACTCACTTGAGTATTGGTTCCACAGTCGAGTGTAACTGGAAGGCATTGGTGTGGTTTGATACCAGCTAAAGCAGTGTACAAAGCTAATTTTCCGACAGGAATACCCATTCCGTAAACACCAAGATCACCAAGACCTAAAATTCTTTCACCATCAGTTACAACAATAGCTCTAACATCTTGTTCAGGCCTATATAATACACAATATCATTATTATTAGTCTTCTTGTAAAATATAACCTACATATAGAGGAAATATTTATTTAAAATTTGCTGTACCTCATGTTTTTACAAAGTTTTGTGGTTTACAAAAAATGTTTTTATGTAGTTAGAAATAGTTTTAGTACATTAAATTTTGTTTATTAGTTAATTTTATATTATTATCAAAATTATTAATTAATTATTATTATTTAAGTTTGAAGTGATGATACAGTATATCTACCAATCAGAAAATGTTTGATGTATACTTTGTTCATTTAAATTTAATAAAATGCTTAAAAGTACAAAAACATAACTATTCATTCACTTTATATTGTGTAACTCTTTTAACAGTTGACACTAATTAGATATCTTAAAAAAGTATTGACGTTTTTGAAAGTCATTACTGTTTTATATTCTGAACGAGGCAAATGAGAGATAAAAGTAGGTATTGGTTTTACAATAAAC